AATTTGGGCTATGCACTAAGCTCACAGGGTTTCCGTGAGAGTAAAACAGTCTGAAGGAAGACTACATAAACTGCTTTGGGTCCCTCGCTAGAGGGAAAAAAAGGTAAATATATTAATAATACACTATTATAATAGTATAATATATTATAATAGCATATTATACTATTATATATACTATAATATAATACTATTATACTATAGGATTATAATAGTAGAATACTATTATACGATAGTAGTAGAATACTACTACTATTATAATAGTATATATAATAGTAGAATACTATTATAATAGTAGAATACTATTATACTATTAATATAGTAGTAGCAATATTATCATAAAATATAATGACAACAGCTGTAATGGATGTTCTTCCTTCTGAAAAGAAAATGGAAGGACAAGCCCCGGTAAAGCACCGAGCCTCATGCAAAGACCCCTATCATGTCAGAAACTTCTGGGGCTGCAATCAGGAAGCCTTGGCTCCATGCGCACTCCTTCACATGATCAGACACTAGAGTTGCATTTTGGAGCAACTTGTAGATGTATCCTCAGGTTTTGGACTGGACCTGTCCAGACAAGACAGACCCTAAAAGAGTTCCTGTCAGCCTGGGAGTTTTCCTAAGTCAAAACAGTGCCTGGCTCTGTTTCAGCTTGTCTTCTGCCTTCAGCTCCTCACATTATTCTTTGCCCTGACTCCCGACACCTAGCTTCCCTCGGGCAGCTTCCTCTGGATCGTGCCAGCACAACAAATATCCCTTGTGTCATTTACTGGAGCCCTAAAAGTCACCACAAGTGGGTGAAGTGGAAGGTCGTGGTTGGAGTTTCATGTGCAATGGTCACCTTTGCAGACTGTTGGGAACAACTGCATCCAGATGTTTGCACCCAGTTTGTGCCCTAAACCATCATCTGGAGTAGCTGGGAGCCCTCCAGAAGTCTTGAGCTGGGGATGATGGCAATGTAGTCCCAACACGTCTGGAGGGTGTCAGACTGGGGGTGGTGTTATGCAGAGAAAGTCAATCCTTTATTCTAATGATTGAGCAGAGGAGGTGGCGCCTGGTGCACAGCAAGGCAACCAAATGTTGGTTGCAGGAGCTTGCTCTGGAAAGGTGAGAACATTGAGCTAGTGCTTTTTTGGGCTAAATTAATAGAAGTATCACTTTGAAACCACACGAGGTGCTGGTTCCCCTCTATTTGGCACTAGCTAGACTCCATCTTGAGTGCTATGTCCAGTTCTGGGCACCACACTTCAAGAAAGATGCAAACTAGCTGGAAAGGTTCAGAGGAGGGCAGCAAGGATGATCCTGGGATGGGAAACAAAGCCCCATAAGGAGAGATGGGAAGGACTGGGCATGTTTAGCTTCAAGAAGAGAAGATCGAGGGGAGATGTGATAGCATTCTTCAAATAGTCGAAATGCTGTTCCAAAGGAGGAGGACAGGATCTCTTCTCAATCTTCCCAGAGTGCAGGGCATGGAATAATGGTCTCACGCTACAAGAAGCCAGGTTCTGGCTAGATATCAGGAAAGATTTCCTGGCTGTTGGAGCAGTACTGCAATGGAACCAATGACTTGGGAAGGTGGTAGGCTCTCCCACCCTGGAGGCATTCAAGAGACAGCTGGACAGCCATCACTGGCAGCCCTGCAATTATGGAACAAGCTCCCCAGTGAGGCCTGTTTGGCACTAACCTAGATATCTTTTCAGCACCAGGTGAATACCAGCTGCTCTGCAGGTCTTGCCACTTAATTTGTATCATCTATTGCAGCTTTTAAAAATTTGGTATCAAACTTGACTTTAAAATTCTGTGTTGTATCTCTAAGCTGTTTTTATTGTTATTTTCTTTTGTATTGTATGTTATCTGCTGCTGTGAACCACCCAGAGAGCTTCGCCTATTGAGTGGGAGAGAACAACAGCGGCAACCACAAATCGCAGAGAATTGCACTGAGCAGAGCTTGGGTCTGATGCCTTCTTGGCTCCTCCCGGCTTTATTAGACCACGATTCTAAGCATCAGCTGCTCTTGTTCCTTCTCCGCTTTCTCATTCTGGCCACCGCTTTCTTGCTTGCTTAGTATACTCCTCTTTCTCACCAGCACCACCCCCATCTGAACCAAAGCATGAGGAAGGTGCACAAGCAGAGAAGAGGATGAGCGGCTTTAGTGGCCCGTGACCTCCGCAAGCGTCCCGAGTGCCCCTTCACACCTGTGCAGACCCAGAGCAGATGGGACTTCACTGCCCCTGCTCTGCTCTGCAGGGGAGTCTCATGCACGTGTGAACTGAGTGCAAAGTAAACATGTGTATTCTTAGTGTACTGAGTTTCCTGCGGAAGGTTCTCAAGGAGATTAACACAGCATGGGTGTCTAAAAGCCATTGCCAAAATTATTATTCTAATGTATATATTTTAATTTTTATTTATGTGGTTTCTAATGTATTGTTGTAAGCCGCCCCGAGGCCTCGGCGAATGGGGCGGCATAAAAATGTTTTAATAAAAAAAACAAAAACATGTTTGCTGGAAGGAACAGTGAAAGGGAAAGCTAACTATAGCCATGTATATTCTATGCATTTAAAAACCAGTGCAGAGCACAGGTCTTAAATACTGGACCCCCTTCACCAGTGAAGGGGTGCCAGTGAAACAGTTCAGGGCTGATGCTGCTAATCCAGTGCCGAGGCTAATCTTGGGACCTCTCCAGGCTGCGCTCTACTGGGTGAGGCTTAAGGCATCGGCCGGCATCTGGCCAGGCCAGCATCCCCGGGCATCTCAGCTGGAGGTTCTTCCTGCCAGTTACTAGACCTTGGAAAGGCTCTTCAAGCATTAAGAAAGGGGAAGAACTGCATGTAAGCTGGGAAGCTATCAAGAAAAGGGGCCCTCGGGGGGAGGGATTGGGCCCCAGACCTGAGGTTTCCACCCATTGTGTGTATATTATTATTATTATTATTTTCAGTTCTGTGCCACCCCTAGCCAAAGCTCTCTGGGTGGATTACACAGTACCTGTGCATGTAGAGGCTACATAAATATACCCAGTAGATGCATCCTTTGGAATTCAGTTTGGAAGGGGAAGGAAAGACGGTACATACGTGTATAGCAATCTGTGCATGTATGTGCAATGTAGGCATGATTGCAAAGGTGTAGAGTGGCGAGAGGGGAGATGCATTGTTATTGCCAGATCGTCATGCCTTCAAGTCTCCTTTCTTTGCCAAAGGTCTGCCCAAGGCGAGTGGTAAACCTTCCATGCACAGCTCTCCCAGCGCTGCTGCTGAGCCTTGTCCACCTTCTCCGCAGGCCGGGTGGGATCTCCATGCGAGTGTCCCGGCCAGCTGTTTTGAACCGAGATTCTGCAGCGTGTGGTGAAGGGCTTGTCACAGTCTTCATGTAAACAAAAATACGGCAATCATTTCTGAACTTTTTTTTTTTTTTTTTTAAGAAAGGGTATCATATCCTGACTGCAAAAGTACCTTTAATGCTGGATTTATCACTGACTTAAGCTGCATTTATCAGCAGATCTGGCCCTATTATAAGGCAAAGTGAGGTGGCTTTCTGGGAAAACATGGGTGGAGGTGCCATTAAGGGGGAATATACTGTCAGTTACTTTGTTCCATTACTCTCTGTCTCTCTCTATATAGATATAGAGTGTGTATATCTATCCACCATGGGACTAATTTTTCTGCCTCAAGTAACCAAACAGCTTGGGGCATCTCTGTTTCCTCTTAGCAGCTACATCACTGTGGTCACAAGACTCCAGTAAGGCCCTGGTTGATTTTCGGGAGCCTTTATCCAGGCCTCTTTGTGGGAGCTGGGGAGAGGTCCCTTTGGTCACTTCCACAGGTCTCTTTGCTTCTTTTATTCCAACATGACTCGAACCCATACATAGGAAGGATTTAATTCAATTCTGGGAGGGACAGCATCAGTGCAGAAGTAACCGTTGTCCATTCTGACTTGGTTTGTTCTTTTCTGTGTTTCGAGGCAGCAAAGGACAACACCAGAATTTTAGGTTTCACAGGTCTGTGGTGCTAAATTCACAGTGGATAAATGCTGACATCCGGAATTGCTGCCATCTTCTCAGAAAGAGGGTCTGCAACTTATGGCCCCTTGCTGGTGCACGGGCGGCTGGAAGCTGCTTCGCGTGACAGCACCGTCTTGAACCTTGACCTCTTCCGTGCTATATACATGCATGCACGCATGCGTGCAGAGATGCATGCACACACACACGTGTGCGCACACGCGTGTGCACACGCGTCCACACAAGTGTCCAGGGCCGATCCTCTCCTGAAAAGCAGGCACGTTTTTGTAAAAATAGCACAGCATTTCAACGGCATGTACAGTTTGTGCCTGGTGAGGCAAAGGGAAAAGAGATTTTCCTGGAGAGAAGCTATACGTTTTAAGGCACAGCAAAAAGGAATTAGGTTTACCATTTCCGTGTCACTCCAGCTTTCTTACGTTCACAAAAGACATTTCCACTTACTGGAAATGCTGAAAAATCCAATGCTTGTTCTGTAGAAGTATCCAATAGATTTTTGTGTTTGCAATGCTTTATGTTTACAATTAGAAGAAGAGGAAGAGGAAGAGGAGAGAGAGGGAGAGAGAAAAAATGCAGAAGATATATGGGGAAGGGCATTTCTGAGTATTTAAAAATAAACCTCAGCTTTCATGTTATTTTATATATACATAGATATGGTTACATAAAATATATCTGCATATATAAAATAATAAGAGAGCTCTGCTACCTCCACTCTTGACTTTTAGTTCAGTACTCATGGATATACTGGGGTTATATTCTGCCCACTTACTCTTCTGCACTGCATCTTTCTAATGTAGAACCCAACAGCAAACCAACCACCAGACTAATTCCAAAGAAAATAGGACTGTCTCCTCATGCAATGCAGTAGGCATCCTGTGGCACTAGTTTCTTATCCAACCTATTTACAGTACAGCTGAGAACATTATTTACACGGGTTACAGTGTTTTGTCATGACAGATTTCTCATGGTCCCTCCCCGCCCGACCCCGACGCGTTCCCAGTGCTACATCCTGTCAGACATGTGTTTCGATGAAGGAATGTGTGTGTGTCAGCAGGGGAGTTGGGATTGCAAGTTCAGAGGCTCCGTTCTGGGTTTTTAGAGCAGCTCCGTACTCACAAATGTCCAGGAAAAACTCATAGTTCTTTGTTTTCCACTCTTTGAATTTCTTGGAGGTTAGGGTGGGATCATGAAGCAAGCTGTTGATCATGGCCAGATCTCCTTCCTTTGACTGCCGAAAGAGAAAAAGACAACATTCTGTTCAGGTAGAGAGTCAGATTTTTGTTAGCTGATGTAGATCTCGCTGCAGCACGCAACTTAGATTGCCATAAAACTGGAGTCTGCTATGATGGGCAACTTCAAGGCCCCCAAAGCTTTTCCTTCTTATGGCTCGTTATCTTTAAATGGTCTTGGAATGGACAGTCCTTCAAACAGAGGACTGTCTTCTGTAAAAGTGGACACCTTTTTACATGTACAAAGATACACCTATCTTTGCTATGAAATTCATTTTGTGAATGTGAACCAGACTTTCACCTTTCAACTTAACCTACTTTACCAGGCTGTTGTGAAAATAATGTGGACAACACCATATACACATTACCTGGAAATCCTTGGAAGAGGGTCAGGAATAACCAAGTAACAAAATAACATACAAATTATAAACAAAAATTCTAATTTTTTTGTTATTCATAACAGGGTTTAGGATATTGTACTGACTGGGAATGATTGATGGCAAAAGAAGAAGGGGACGGCAGAGGATGAGGTGGCTGGATGGAGTCACTGAAGCAGTTGGTGTGAGCTTTGCTGGACTCCGGGGATGGTGGAGGACAGGAGGGCCTGGAGGAGTGTTATCCATGGGGTTGCAATGTGGAGTGTTGCATGGAGTGTTATCCATGGGGTCGGATGTGACTTCGCGACTAGCAACAACAACAACTGGGCCTTCATGTTGATGCAACAGCAGTTTCTTTGTGTGCATAGTACGGCCAAGAAAACACTTACTTTTAAAGTGCTCTTGAGGACTCGGATGCGATGCAGCTTCTCATTAATAACAGGATCATTGCACCTTTTGACAAAGGACCTCCGAAATTCCTGCTTGGTGGAAGGACGTTGCTCCCCAAATGCTGACAAGCTGGCCTGCTCCAGAGACTTATACAGCTCATGCAAACCATCCACACTCTTTCCCTGATCTTCAGTGTGTTCTGAAAATAAAATCAGACTGACCTTTATGTCTTATATATTTACAGTGAAGAAAAGCAGTGGGTGAATGCGAAGCACAAGGCTTACTTTGCGAAGGTAATTCTAGCGTAGTGCTTAAATATGAGGCACAGCAACCTTACAGGAACCCTGTTGGTAAAATCTGGGGTGAAGTGAAAGCCTTTTAATCATAGAATTGTAGACTCACAGAAGAGTAGAGTTGGAAGGGGCCATGAAGGCCATCAGGTCCAACCCGTTGCTGTTGCAGGACACTGATTTTAACGTGTCGCTGCCTCTTTAATGAACACCTGTATCTCTGTTAAGGGCAGCATTGACTCAGTTAGTGAATATGAAGAAATGTGTGTATCTTGAACACCTCTCCCCTCCCCCTCCAAAAAAAAAAAAAACTTCTTACCCATCTGGAAGGCCAGATTTATTACTGGGTAAAGCTATTCCCAGGAAAAGCTATCCCCTGTGCCTGCTTCCATGAATCAACAAGGAAGCTGCCGGAAAAAGAGATGGTACAAGAATGCAAGGACTGAAGCCCAGGCATTTAAGAGCTAAGCGCTCAACCCACCAGATGGATGGACCTGTCAGATCGTGCCTCCTTCATTTTTAAATCTCTTTTTTACCACTCTGAATATGAAGGATGTGCACACTTTGGTGAGTTTTTATAAAAAAATAAATAACTGAAATGAATTTCTCAACCGTCCTGCACTCAACTGAAGCAAAAGCAACTCTGAGAGGGGCTTGGAGTTCTCCCAAGAGAAGCAAGGTTGCCAGAGCATGTCCTAGAAGGTGCTGTGGAATAAGATTCTGGGGATTCCTCCTGAAAGCAGCGATGATGCGATATCATGAGCATCCCAAGTGGCTCAGAGCAGGATAGGAACGAATGCAAAGTTTGAGTAGAAAAGTACTCAGCCCATCCTGTGATATATTATAAATATTTGGTCTCTGACTGTCTGCTAACATCCATGTTTGTGGCACGTTACAAATTCCACGGCAGAGCGTTTTGTGAACGGGTTGATGGCAAGCCATAGAAAACTTCTCCTTACCTTCTTCACACAAGCTACTCTGCCTTCTGATAGGCACCTTTTCTTCGGCTCTCTCTTCGGCTATCCCGCTGGATTTTAGCCGGCCTTTGACCCGAATCTCTCTGTTTCGTGGAAGGCTTTGACTACGCTGCTTCTGCGTTCTGGCATGAGAGCTGTGACCCCTTTGGCACTCCACCAGTGGGAAAGGACCATCTTGTTCATGGTTGTGTCGTCTTTGGACGGGCAGCGTTGCTTGCCGTCGCCTCTCCGGAGATGACCCAAGTCGTCCACTCACGTACTCGGGGTCAGAAGGAACAGTCTGGAGGAAGTGGAGGCCTGAGCTGGTCAACGGAGTTTCGATGAGATCTTGCCATGAACGTCTTTCTCTGTAGGAAGGTCTACAACTGGCCGAGTGTGTGCTCCCTGTTGGATCCTGTCGGGAATCCTCCGCTGAAGAATGAGAATAGGTTGATTCACTGGAGAAGTGTCGGCCATGCTTAGGCTCTGGGAAAGGACTTGAAGAATTCATCTAAAAATAATCAGACCATTCTGTTATTTGATTGGGCAATGGTGACACATGGGAAAAACACACCATGTGCTGAACAGTATGCGCCCTTCCCACCTTTAAACATTCTGTTACCAGTGTGGTTACGGATTCTGCTAGAGTTGCTTCCATGGTGATAATGGAACATCTGAAGATCTCCACCCACATGAGTTTGTGTGAGTTGCCCCGCTTTCTGTTGTGTTCCTCAACTGTGTCATCATAGTATCGTGGATACTATGGAGAGATGGATGGATGGGTGGATTCTTTGACATCCTGTTATTGGCTTGGAGCAACCACTAGAGAAGCAGCAACAATTGTGGTAAAAGAACATCTAAAGTGAGGTCTAACAGTGATGCTAACCAAGAGATCTGATTTGGAATCAAGGGTTGTAGTTCAGTGGTGAAACCTGATAAAGGTTCCAGGTTTGATGTTCAGCATCTCTAAGCAGGGCAGACAAAATTATTGCAGGAAACCCTGCAGAATCATGGCTGCTTGGATGCACCTGTGCTCTCACCTGGGAGAAGATAACATCCTATGCTCCCACAAAGATGCAACTCACAGCAACTTCCATACACAATCGTCGAATAATGTTTACGCAATCCTTGTTCTTGCTATCACACTTTTCTCTGCCCAACAGTGACTCCTGCTGAAGGGGCAGGATATTACCACTAAAGATTTTTCATAAGACTTACTCAGCATTTCTACAATGTAGAAGTACCTTGTAAAGGAGATCCGGCAGCCCCCTTCCCCAAAAAAGAACGCATAACTGGTTTTCCAGTTCTTTTGCTTTTTAAAAATCCCAATAAATTATTGGTGCTTAGGGCAGGAAGGCACCCAATGAAAGAAAAATGTGTTTAGGGGACTTCTGAACATACATGAATTATTTAGGGATCAATATTATTTTTAATGCAACAGTTAAAAAAGAGAGAGAGAGAGAGAAGGCAAAAAAGTGAAAAAGGGAGGGGCTTAACCTGTATCCCAGTTGATGGAACAGCATCACATGGGTGGAAATCAGTCTGAGCTTCACCCATGTGATGCTGTTGCCTCAGTCACTTTCTTTGGTTCTGTGAGGATCGCATCACTGACGCTGGAGAAAAATCTGAAAGAAAAATAGAAAGAGTCCTATCTGCACTTAGAAACACTGGTTAGATTAGTAAAAGCAGGCTGCACACTTTGGGTATCTCAGGAACGCACTGGCTAGCCACACAATTAACATGCTTTGCAAGTATTATATGGTTTTTACTTTTGCAACTTTCCACCCCCCACCTTTCTAATCAAGGAGCATCCTTATTGTAGGGTTACTAATATGGCAGAAAACTGATTTTGATGGACTGTGTCCAATTACAGGCTGCTTTGAAATGATTTAAAATCCCTGTAATTAAGGGTCAAGCTAGGTATGATCAGGAAATCATGCCTATTTATTCACACCTCTGCCCCAATCATATATAAAAGTGGGTGTATATTTTACACCAAAAATGAGTTCACACTTTACACCAAAAGGAGTGTGCTGATGAAGGGAACTGAATCCTTACTCTTTCTCAGCTTATCTCTTGATACAGTGTAGTTGGTTTAGACTTCAGGATAAACCATGGATTATTGGGACTGCATTGACTATAGCTGCCACTCCTGGTTTGCATTCTCTTTCTCTAACATGGCCACAAAGCAGAGGCTGGAAGCTTCTATTTCTATGCTTGGTCAACCATATTCTGTCATGTTATCTGATCATGAGAAACTATGATCAATCTTAATGATGGTTTGTTTGAAACATCAACTTCAAATCATGGTTTATGAAGCTGGCTTGTTTCAACAAAGCTTGGCTAAGATTAACTGCAAATTATGAGTAGCATATAATGCTATATTGTGGTTAATTTAATTAGAAGGTTTCTAGTCACCTTGCATTTGTACTAGAAGAAAAGGGGAAGAAGGAGTGCATGAGAGGGTAAGAAATCTAAGCAAATTCCTCTCACAATAAACTATAATTTATTGTGATATATTATTGTTTCAAAAATCAGAACAAAACTGAAAATAAAAAAGAAAATTAAAAGTTTTCCTACATGAAGCTTAAGTGAATCTATTACAATGAACACACACATACCATGTGACCCCTACTTATTTTATTTACTGCAATTCTTCAGAACATTTATGCATAGACTTCAACAAAGACAGCCTGGGTATTTGTGTTCTTGTGTTTTTCAGCCCTGTTCAAAACCTGAAATTTTTATATTATCCTACAGTGTTCTTGAAAGTTTCTGTTTGTCCTTCCAGTCTATTAGCTGTCAAAATGACACAGATAATCCATTTATGTGGACTGTCTGCTAAGTTCCAAGAGATGGGTAGATAAGAAGAACCTGTACATCTCTAAATATTGAAGGACTTTCTGTCACACAGTTGTGACATCCAGATGGATTCTGCAGCTTTAAACACTTTTCTTCACAACTGGACTCACAGGCCTCAGATCATTTCCAGAACTGTGGCCAACATCTTTTGGAAGTATTTCATTTTGCCTGTCCTAATTCTAAAGCCAGTGAATTTGAAAGCCAGTGAATTTGGTTGTTCGTATTACCCAACTGCAAGTGCTATTGGAGGGGGATTTTAAACAGCTCTTCCCCTTTCGACTTCCTTTATGCATAGCTAAAATAATGACTGCGGATAAAGAGTCCTTTGCTATCTAACTTGTTTTGTCCACAGGTGCGATTAACACCTTGTATTTCTTCAGGTCCATTCCTTGCCCTCCTTGCAGGATTCCCACTTTTCTAGTCCCCATCCACCCTCTCTGAAATCTGGCCATAATCACACCATCAGGAGTGAGACTTAATTTGAATTAAAAATGTAGTATCTGCTATCATTTTAATGGAATCATACCTCTAATGATAGCTAAGTACTCAGCAAAATACCTTTCCCAAATTACTTAATGACCCAGCATGACAGGTTATTTAAGGCACAATTCTAGGAATGTTTAAACAGAAAAAGTTCCACACTGCCAGCATTCCCCAGTAAACATGCACAGGACTGGTTGCATCATCAATGGTGCACTTCTATAGACACACACTTGTGAGTGAGCATCATTGAACATAGTGGGTCTTACTTCTGAGTAAACCTTTGAGCTTGAAAATTACCGAAAGCAAAACATCACCTCCCTTGGAAGGCTTTTCTTATCCATTCATGCCTACCCTTGGTCGGACAGATATGTAACATTCGCATTGTGTGCAAACGCAATGCAGGTTTGCTCTGCCTGGCTCAAATCATAAAGCTGTCCCCAAAATCAAGTGCAGCCCAAGAAGAGAAGTGGCCCAGCACGTGCCTCGTGTCACTTACTGAGGGGGTTCGGTGGTAGGTGTCGCACAGTGTTATGGGTCCCTCTTGCTTCAGCGTTAAGGAGCCGTCCATGTCCTCTTGGTCACTTTCACTCCAGTAATCTGCTGCAGAAATGTTTGCATGCTCCATTGAAAGGTGGCCTTCATCAGGCAACATTCCCCGAATGCCGGAGGTGCCAGCAGCGGTGGAACCATTTGTGTAACTGTGGCAAGGATTCCCGCTTTGCCGGAGGCCCGCGCATAGACTCTTCTTACTGGCACCATGCTGGATGCATGGATGTTGCCAGGGGACAGGCAGAGGCATGGATGATGGAGCTGGGGGAGGTTGTCTGAGTCCTGTCTCTATATCGGGGGTGCAGAACCTCAGGTTTGGGAGTCCAAATTTGAGTTCCTCAAGCATCCTTAGGCTTAATTGTGAGGAACTTGAGTGAGAGAATAGGGCATTACAGGGGGGAAAAGCACTCTGCTCTCTGTATCATATATGCCCCAGCATCTAAGCTCCAGTAGGTTTGGAAGACTGCCAGGGGTGACTTTAAGAGGCTTCCTAATGTGCCAATTTTTATAGAAAGAAATTGGGGCAGAGGATTGGCACAGGAGCACCTATTATCATGCTCTAGCAGATCTCTGGAACCAGAAATACTGAAGCTATCAAATGTGTTAATGAAAATAATCTATATGTTTAAGTTCCTGCTCAGGTGTCTGGAGCTTCTCTCTCAGCCCACCCTCTCATTCAGATTAATCCCAAACAAAAGCAAACATTTACCTTCATCTGGCCGGATATCTTTGTCGTCAGGCGTGTAACCAATGGCTGCTAGGCCAAGGCGATTCATCCATCTGACAAAAGGAAAAAGAGGGAATACATTGAATAAAAAGCAACCTGCTACAATTGCTGTGAAGCGCTCGCCTACATTCTTTGATCATACAAACTGGCCAGGTTTGCCTATTGGCCAGCGATGATGCTTATTCACCTTGTTGCCCTGCTGTGTTGTCCACACCCCGTTGTGGTGTTTCAGTGTGGCATGCTGAGTCCTGGGAAACCACAGCCAGGCCCCGTGGGGGGCTGCACACCATGGCAGATCCCCCCCCGGGTGGTGGCTGCAGTTGGGTTTGGAGGCATCGCAGGGGATGCCCTCGTGCTGCCCCTCTTGCGGCAGGTGCGATGCCTCCGGGCAACGGCGGCACAGACAGCGGCAGCGGACTCTCTGTGCCCTTCTCCCTCTGGCTTGCCAAGGAGGCATTCCCAAGAGGGCCCCCACAAACCGATCGTGGCCAGCAAAGCGAGGAGCCCCACTGCTCCCCACGGTTCCTCCTGGGATACCGTCTGGAGAACTGAGAGGGAAGAAAACGATGGATGGGAGAGTTACCGTGAGCATCCTGGTCTTTTTTCTGGCACATCCATGCAAAAATCTGTGCATGGTAGAAACTGTGCAGGATCGCTTGTCACATGCGAGTCCGGCCAATGAAAGCAAAGTCTTATGAAGCCAGGTAATGGAAGAGGGAAATGCAAGCTCTGGATACATTTGCGAGTCCTGATTTCTCCTCTGCCTCCCCGTTCATTGCTTCAGTGTCTGTTGCCTCTGTCAGCCACATCAAATGGAGTACTGGACTAGGCGTAACTTTTAATCTTCACAGTCTTGAATGATTTGGGCTCAAGTGACAGGAAGGACCCCTTTCTCCGCTATCTGGTAGCTCATATTCTGAGGTCATTCAAAGATGCTCCTCATATCAGACACCCTACCAGGAACAGGGGACCATTTGGGGGTGGGCTGGCCTCCATCGGGGATTTGTCAGGATCGCACGAAAGAAAGGGAACAAACACACTTGTGCATGCTCAGGCTTTTGTTCTGGGGGAGCACAAAGCCCCTTTCCCTCTGTGAGCGGCTTCTCCTCATTGGAACGGGCCTCTGAAATGGCCCGCAAGCATGGCTGGGGAGGCACTGGTGTCTCCCACAGGCAGCGATCCTCTCCTTCCCTCAGACTCGTGTGGTTTGGCTGCTGCGGCTGCACCCAGAGACGGGGAGAAGGAGAGGAGAGCCTAAGGGGTGGAGGAGAGGGGAGTGGTGCAGGCGCTCCTGGGACGGTGGACGAGGGGCCCAAGCAGGTTGCTGTGGGAGCAGGGAGAGGCAGGCCATGGAGGGAGGTATGAGAAGCAGTACCCCCCCCCCCGCCACGTAGAAGAGTATTGCACGTGCTGCCAGCACACATCACGCCGTGAGTGTGCTGCACCTTGGAGTGAGTGGCAGAGGATTGCACACGGCAACGGTAGCCATAGCAACAGGGCTGCCACTGCCTCCGGAGCAAGGAGGAGTCCGTCTGCTGGGCAGACCGGCTGCTGTGAGCAGATCGTGGCCCGCTCACCCAGAGCATCCTTCCCTCTGCTCGGATACCTCCGTTCCAGCAAGGCCCTCTGCTGAAGGAGGCATGCTGGGGCACTCCAGCGGGGAGAGGGACAAGAGGAGGATGCTCCAGCCGGGCAAGGCCATCAGGAGGCACGTCTGCCTTTGCGCTGCATCTGTGCTCATGTCTGCCCAAGCTCCGGATGCTTCCCCCATGGCGTGAGAGGAGCATGGGGTACACCTCTCCTCCCATGTTAGAAGCGGAGAGAGTTGGGCGGGCCACCCCCTCTCATCCTGCACCTCCATAGCCTGGAAAAAGAAAGGCTATTCTCCAGAAGGAACGGCCTTGTTATGGGGAATAGATGGCTGCCCCCTTATGCTAGTCAGAGAGAGGGCACGGAGGGCAGGTGAGCAGGTGCATTGCTCAGCTGTCCTGAGCAGCATTGCTCTCTTGGAAGGCCAGGCATCCTCCTTGGGTGCTCCTGGGCAGCTCAGAACACTGGGGGAGAGAACATTGTGGTGTCTGGACCTGAACTGTTTCTGGGCCAGCACTTAGGCCCAGTTTTTGGGCCAGATGTCCATGTTTACTCGCTTGAGAACTGGGCTGTTTGTGGCAGATGTGTTTGCCACCAGGAAGGAGAGCTGAGAAGGTGCCTGGGAGGCTTTCAGAAGACTCCTCTGTTAATGAAGCCCTGGGGTGGAAGACATTAATGCATCTGTGGCAAGCAGAGCAGGATAGTAGAGGCTAGAAGGCTGGAGCAGCTCATGTATCAGCTACTCTTTCCAGCAGACTCTGTGGCAGCTGCATGTCAGGACCTTGGAACCCACAATGCTGTGCTTGGACATCCAGGATGCTGAAGTGAACAGTGAAAACCACAGAACAGTCTGTCGCTTCTTGCTATGGGTTCAAGAAACCAAACATACTACGCAAAAAGCCACAACAGTGTTCAGCCCTGGGACGCATCCATTTTTGCACAAAGCACACAAACCTCACAAGTCAGGTGCACAGAAGCAGGAATCCACTTGGCAGCAAGCCTGCTGGCTCCGTACACACAAGCCCACCTTAGTTCTGGGTCCAGTTCAGGGTACTGGTTTTAACCTGGAAAGCTGTACATGGGTTAGGACCACAATGCCTGTGGGAACTCCTCTCCCAACTGAGATCTGCTCAGACACTGCACTTGCCCTCCAGGGCCTTCCTCTGAGTGCCAGCTCTGCAGGAAGCATGGAGGAGACAATGAGGGGGAGGGCTTTCTTGGTGGGCGGCCCCCTGCCTCTGGGACAGCCTCCTCACTGCAGCCCGGCTGGTGCCAAATTCGTCGTCTTTTTGCCAGCAGGTTAAGACTGCCCATTATACTGAGGCTTTGAAAGACTTGCTCTGATACCTGGGGTGTCAGGGGTGACATAGTCATTTTTTGTTATGGTTTGTTTTAGCTGTTTTAAACTTTTTAAAGTTTTTCTGCTTTTATGGTATTTTTGTCTGGTTTATTTTTATCTGTTTTATGGATTGTTGTAAACAGCCTGAAGAGCTTTGGCTGTGAAGAGGTACAGAAATGAAATATCATCATCACCGTCATCATCTAGGGCCATGGAAAGTTAATTTGGAGGAGTCCTGTGAAATTAAGATGGACTGGGGTTACCTCAACCACACGCATCTTTCTTATAAAAATACAATGTTTAATATGTGAACAGGATAAAAAACATGATCAGCAAGAATGGCTATCCCTATTAGATTAAAATTTGTCACTAGGATTTGAGGGACTATGCTGTGAAGGTAGACAATCAAACACTGCATTTCTTATATCTGGGATGTGAAAAATCATAAGCACTCATCATTAAGAATAAGTATTGTATTACTATTCATTAAACTCCCGCTATGGCTGCCTTTTAATTAGTTAATGACAAAGCAGAATATGCTACTTATCTGATTAAGAATCAATATTGTTCCTTTCTAATCTTTTCAAGAGTTCACAGTCCTTCCTAAATTACAGGCTCTTGCTTTGCTGTTATCAGCTTTTCAGGGGAGGCAAAGCACTGTGCTCCAGCCAAATATTTTCTGATGTCCTTTGCAAACGTCTTCTGTAGGAGGTAATTTGAAACATTAATAACATGCTACTTCTCTCTAATTGGAATTAATGTGGATGCCATCTGCATTTTATCGCATGGTTAAGTGTGATGATTTTGGTTTTGTTTTGTTTTTGAAACCCGAGAGTGATCTGCTGAATAAATATGGCATCCTTTGCCAAATTCCTTGTTCAGATGCAACGCGTACATAACAAGTGTGATATGGCTAAAGGGGATCGCTTTTGTGGATGGGGGCAATCGATTTCTCAAAGAGAGATCTCTAATTTTCAAGCATCCTTGTGGCTCAGCACTATTTATTGTTTTGCAAGGTGCTTAGGGACCAAGGAAAAGAAGAGACAAATGTATTAATACCGTGATTATTTTGTCATGTGCGAGTCTGGCAAAGTCTCTCTGCAAAAAAGCAGGATAGGAAGAATCCAACGGAAGGTGTTCTGCCTGAAGGTGAAGGCAAGTCATCATAAAAACAGACGCAAGTCCAGGGCAGACTGGACTTGAATCTCCTTCCCTGCAAATCAGCCTGCAAATTAGAAGCCAGTGTCTTACAAGGACATGCTCTCATTAAAACATGCAAACTGCCCTCCTGGAGCAGCAAAAAAGCTCACAGCAGTATAACTAGGTAATTTTAGGTCCCAGGTGTAGCAATCCTACGTTCCCTTGGAGAGTGTTCCAAGGACCATTAGATATAGTGCATTATTACTACTAGGGTCGGGATGAAGCCCAGTAGAATCCATCCCTCTAGAATTCGCAATATTCACAAAGCAAGCTGAGTGAAGGGGAAGTCCACAAAGGCTTGTGGAACAAAACCCGTGCAACCAGCAACCGTCTTCCGTGCCAGACGCTACAGGTGGTGTGGAAGAGGGTCATGTGGAGCTCCTTTCCTGGCGAGCACTCTGCAAAGAACCTTCTTCCATGCAGCTTCTGTGCCTGATCCTACCTAGTCTTGCAAGCTAAGTAGGGTTGGGCTGGGTTGAAATCTGGATAGGAGACCTGAGTCCTGCATGGAGCAGGCCGTTGGACCCAGCGGCCTGCTAGGAGCGAGAGGCAGGTGAGGCAGGTGAGGAAGCAGGCTGCAGTGGGGAAACAGATCAGGACCTTGCAGGGATCTTGTCAGCAGGCCTGTTTGGGAGCACGGCCCCTCCAGCAAGTACAAGACAAGGCCTGCTCTTGCTGTCAGCCTGGACCCTTGTCCCTTTTTGCATGCCAGTCAAAGACGTGGTTCAAAACAGATGAAGACTTTGTAAGATACAAGAAAGGGGCGTTTGGTGCAGGTTTTATCTGACCTGACAAATGCTGCTTAAGCCTGCAAAGGATGTTGTCATTTGCATCTTTAACATCATGGTTAGTTCGTTGATTTGAATGCCATGTATTTAAATACCAGACAGATTATATAGCAACTTCCCATCTCTTCACTGCCAAGGGGATTTAGGGAAGATTCAGGGAATAGGAAGCAGTATTTTCTTTGATTTTGCTGCTGCGTACACACACACACACACACACACACACACTTCACATTTCTGCAGTTCTTTGCAGATTATCAATGCATCTTACCTATTCATTTCTTCCAGGCTGTCAGTGGCAAAGTAGAAGCTTTTGATTTTGGGGTGACAGGCTTTGAAGGCACTATAAGAGAAACAGAAAGGAGGATTTTTCCCCCTCAGTTAAGGAAAAACTAGAAGTTTTATGTAAAATGTACATACACATACACTGGAAGAAAAAGTAGATGGTAAGATTGCCTTGATTTTTACTAAACAAGAATACTGAAAATAAGGCCTATTGTTCAATAAATTTATCAAATTGTTGTCTGTGTCATGATCTACTATAATAACTTAATGTTGCTAAGATTGCAATGTCCCGTACTCTGTCATATCATTTAGATATTAACTTCCAATTTGCTGCTATACACATTTTAGCTGCTGTGAGCAAATTTACAGTGACTTCAAACTCAGTCTTGTTAACAAAATCTTTAATATAGCACAATAGTACAAGCTTAGGACTCAACTGGTGATTTCATTAACCAACCTAAAATCTTACCCCCAAAGGGTCGTATAACTGGACAGTTCCAAAATACATGCAAAAAAGGTGTAACACAAATCTGAGTATGTGAAGTTAAATGAACTGAAAGTTCTTTTTAAAAGTTGCTTCCAAATGAGCTGGTGTTAATATATTTCATGTATACCCCCTTATCTATTTTCATTCCAGTTGGACATATATAGAGGGCTATTCTCTGTAATTTAGGACTTATTAGTCAGGGGAAGTCACATCTGGAACTCTGAGAAACTATTTGTTTGTTTATTAAATTTCTAACCCATCCCATTACCCTGGGTGAGTTACAGCAACAAAAAACAAAATGAAGTTCAAAATAGAATAAGATACAGATTAAAATACAATAAAACAACAATTACAAATAAAAAAATTAAAACCAGCATAAGATGCACTACAGTAATGAGATACCCACAGTTAAAATGCTGCTTAAAACAAGTTAACAATTAAAATGCTGTCAAGATAAAAAGGTTTTCGCCTGGCGTCTGAAAGAGTGTACAGCAGGTGCCAGGAGGACCTCTTTGGGGAGCTTGTTCCAGAGTCAGGGTGCCACTGCAGAAAAGGCCCTTCTTTGTGTTAGTGGCCTCCTTTTGGGCACCAGCACAAAATGGCTGCCACAAGAGGCACGGCTGGTCACGATGGCCAAGCAACTTCCCCAGAAGGAGGGAACAGAAAACCAAAATGAGGCCTGAGCAAGAACATGCAAAGCATCTCCTTTGATCCCATCAGCACCATTTCAAATCTAGTTCACAGAAAGAAAACGCCGTTTCTTTCCACCACCGCAACTCTCACCTAACGCATCCGGCCCTTTCACCTTTTGGCTCCTACCTTGGCTGAGCCCCATAGATGCAGGTTCCCCCACTCCCTCTTTTTCTATCATGGACGTGCCCACAAAAACAGCACCAACTCCAGGTTTCTGAAGGGACTTCTAAGAGTCCTCCCCTTCCATGGGTCCCCTCCCTCAGTGAGTCCACCATTGGGCGGCCATTACCACTCGCTGCTCTTCTTCATTCTTGCTCCTGCTTCCTTCCTTGACAGGCTGGGAGCTTGGAGCAAGAAGGCAGTGGGGTGGCTCTGGCTGCTCACCATTGTCATCGCCAAAACTACACGTTTCAGCAAACTGCTTGATGTCACATGTGGTTCTGTGATTGGATACGTGTGAGGTTTTAATGAGATTTTAGAGAACCTCTTGGACAGGAATACATTGACCCGTAAGAAGAAATCAGGGGTGATATTCCCAATTCTGGCCTCGATGGTAGAATTTTGCTTGACTTGATCCATAGAGGATATTGTATCTAGATACTTATATCTTCTGTCCACCATAATTATTTCTGGCTGGATTAGTGTTTTGTTTCCTTATCAAATCAGAGACTGTAGGATTAAAATGTTGGTAATATCAGACTATTCCCCAGTTTGTTTGGATTTCCTGCTTACAAATAGCTTGAGGCCTGCTGGTCTTTTGCACTGTTTCTTTGTCAAATGGCGCGTCTTTTAAAGATTCTTTTCTTACTGAGCAAGAAGAATAGTTTGAAATCAATGAGGGTTTAAGCAACTAATATTCCACTGAGTGAGAGGCTAATAAACCTTTTCATCCAGAGCCAAATTACTGCTTATGCATCTCATAAAAATAAAATTTAAAAGGGACAAGAAATAGCTCTAAGGGATGGGTTGAGAACTCTTGTAAATCAGCTTGCCACTTCACCAAATGCGCAACCAGTGTTGGATAAAACTGCTTGGTAGCAGGTAGAATTTGCCCTAGCTTGATTAAGGCAGACATACTGGGGAGATGGTGAACGTTCCAGTAAGATATTAGCAAATGGCCTTGGGGAAAGAAAAAAAACCCGAAATACTATATTGGTGATGAAAGACAATAGTGACAAGATACTTACTCATCCTGAGGATATACATTTTCAATTGTTCAAATTTTATTCAGAATTGTATAGCAGGAGCTGTGAAATATCAGAGCTGGATATGATGTATTTCCCCCCTCAGGTTAATTTTCCTTGTCAAGATATGTTACCAAGGCATTTTTAATGATGCCTTTGAAGATTGAGGAACTTGCAAAAGCAATAACTAACAGGCAAACAGGGTTAGTGCCTGGTCCAGATGGATTTCAAACTGAGTGGTATAAAATATTTTCTAGCTTTCTCATTCCCAAGTGTTATCATTTCTATAACTGTATTTTTGAAAAGAGCTAGCTCTCTTTTGTCAGCACTTAATGATGTTTACATTGCAACAATTCCTAAAACAGATAAAGAACCTATTCCCTGTGGTGATTATCAACACATTTCATCATTTAACATTGATATTAAAATACTAACTGTAATGAATTATTACAAAGTTAGTCCAACTGGGTCAGGTGGGATTCATTAAAAATAAGCAGGGGGCTGATAATCTTAGATTTATTTATTTATTTCATTTTTATGCTGCCTGATAGCTGAAGCTCTCTGGGCAGTTAGCGAAGCTTAAAAGCAGCAAAATCAAGAAGACACAGCGCTATAAGACAACAAATGATAAAACTAGAGCAATTGCAGCCCAATTAGCACAGAGGTATAGCAGTGGTACAGGATAAAATGCAGTATTAAAAATTAAAGTTTAAAAGTTAACTAGTAAAACATAAAACCTGGCACTGAAAAGAACAAAGAAGAGGCACCAGGTACCCCTGTTTGGGGAGCTCATTCCACTACCTGGATGTCACAACTGAAAAGACCCTTCTCCTGCTAGGCACCCTCCTTGGTTCCCTTGGAGGAGGCTCCCAGAGAAGGACCCCTTGCTTGTGGATTTGATTGCACTGAATCACATTTAATGCAAATTTAATGCAAATTGCTGTATTTTTCGCTCTACAAGACGCACTTCCCCCCCCCTCAAAAGGGGAAATGTCTGTGCGTCTTATAGAGCGAATGTGTGTGTGCCCGACACCTGGGACGCTGTCGGCCGCCTGCACCACGTGGCACCACCTGGCCGGCACGCGCTCGGCACGCCCTGCTCTGCCCCCACCCCCAGCACAGGTGAGAGCTGTGCCACTCAGGGGGAGGCGTGCGGAGGAGGAGGAGCTGCGGGCTTTAACCCGCCGGCTGCACAGAGAGACGGACTGCTCACCCCCACCACCCGGAAAGACCTGCCTCTGCCGCGCCGCCCGAAAGATCACCGCCTGCACGCTGCCGGCCCCACGTGGCACCACCTGGCCGGCATGCGCTCGGTGCGCCCTGCTCCGCCTCCCTCCTCCGGCGCAGGTGAGAGCTGTTAATCACAGGTCGGTGTGTGTTTTCAAATGGCAACCTGTCTTTTAATGAAGCCCATGGGGAAGTGATGGGGAATGTGCCTGTGATTATCAGGAAGCTTTCCATGGATCAGTTATCTGTTAGTTGATCAGACACATTTTTTTTAGGATCAGTGGATATTTGAACAGCATTACCTTCGTGTATGGAGTTTATTCTTCAAAGGCTACTTAGTCTGCTGTATGTTTGATTTACCGTACAATATCTCATTTTTTGTCAGAAGTTTTTTTCTATTATTTACTAGTAGGGCAGTGTGGACGTTACTGGCTTTTTTAGATTTGTTATTGAATTGTCTGCAGCAGCTCTTGTATAACTGGTGTAGATTGTGGATTCCTTCAATAATTCCACTACTGACTAAGCAAGTGACGTCAGTGATTGTGAGCAACAGAGCTTCATAAATTCTGGCTCTAGTGATGATGAGTTCTATGGGTTCAACGAAAACTAGAAGAGTACTCGAACTTTAAAGATTCTCTTTTGTTAATGACAGTGATGATGGTTCTTAATGCCACTGTTGACCGCTGTTCACTTTACAAGGGTGAAATACAGTATTACTGTATTCTGTTATAGTTTATTAAATAGTTTAGTAAACCATTTGATTCAGAATATTTTTTTCTTGTTTTCCTCCTCTAAAAACTGGGTGCGTCTTATGGTCAGGTATGTCTTATAGAGCGAAAAATATGGTAAATTGTCGTTAAATCAAATTTGATTGCATTAAATAAGGATAGAACACACATAGTTCTTATTATCTCTTTGGATATTGAAAAGACCTTTGATAAAACTGATTGGAAGTTTATCTTTGCCACACTGAACAATTTCAGGTTTCCTCCAGATGTTCAGAAATAGGTTAAAATTTTGGGTTAACCCTAGAGGCAGAGGGTTAACCTCAGAAGGTCCATCCTGCCAGGGCATGTTGTGAGATGTAGGACTTTTCCCCATCTAAACAAGCACAAGATCGTAGCCTTTTCCAATGTATGAAACTAGCACCTAAGACTTTATTTTCTTTCAGTAAAAAGAAGGATCTCTTTGTCTTGTGTGTGTACATGTGTGTGCGCACACACACACAAAAGCCTGGCTTGAGATTTGGGGTCTCAGTTGCTGGCCTCTCTTTTAGTATTATGCTCTAATTAAACTCCATTGGGGGGCAACGAAGAGCCGTTTTCAGAATGTTCACAAGAAACTCAAACCAGGTCACTGCTAGCCATATATGGAACACCTCTCAAGGTGTGACCTTTTTGGGCATGAGCTCGAAACCCTTTCAAAGCAGGCACTTGCTGTTTGCACAGGGATTGCTTAACCTCCTTCACCTCAACAAACCTGCCTTTCCCTGGCACAATAGCTCTTTGATGGCATTTGCTGGTGAATAAGCTGAAGAACTCTGCCTCGTGGAACATAGCAGGAAAGCAGAAACGAGAGCTGTATGTACGGAGGAATGAGGGCGGGGAAGGATGATGTATTGTAATCATTTCACCAGACCCCCTCCCCACCTCCTTTTGGGCATGTGCCATTAGCAGAGAGGCTGACACTTTGCCCACTATATTTATGCATTTGAAAGCCACAGGGATTGCAAAGCAACCTAGATGCTATTGCATAAGCGTCAATAGCAACCAACTAATCCTTTACCTTCCATCTACTCATCAGACTGATCTTCCACTCTGACAGAGTTTCCTTCCAGAAGTGCTCCATCTACTGCATGCTTTGCACATGCCAGTAAATCATTTGCTCCCAGCCTGGTGCCCTCCAGATGTGATGGGGTGACAACTTCCATCATCCCCAGAGAGCATAGCCGATGGCCATAGGAACATAGGAAGTCTCTAAACCAAGTCAGAGCTTTGGTCCAGCAAGCTCACATTGTTGGTAGTGACTGGCAGAGGCTCTCCAAGGTTTCAGAGGTGCCAGCCATGTCATCCTAAAACTCTTCAAGGAGCCTTTGGAATGCTGTGGATTCCATAAACCTCTTGGGGTGGACCATCCTAATCAGTCCTCCATCCCTGCAGCGGAGAAATAACCAGTAGGAGTCTAGACTGCAACAGGAACCTAGGACCAGCCTTAGGCTGAGTCAAACCTTGATCCATGCAGCTCAGCAGCCCTCTGTCTGGGGATGCCAAGGGTCAAAACTGGACCCTTCTACATGCAAAGCTGTGGACCTTCTCTAAAGCCAGCTGAGGATGCCTGGAGTCACCATTCATCACATCCAAAGGGTACCAGGTGGGGGGAGACTGCTGTAAGCTTTCCTCTTATTCAGCGGACTTGCTTGGATGCTTGAATGTACAGAAAAAGCCTGTTTTTCTACACACAAAACTCACCTTAATTTTTTTTTTTTTGATGTTGGCCAATAGAGGCTCTTCTATCTCCTGCAGTACAACTTAGCTCATGCAGTTCTTCCACTCTGCCTAAAAGCTCTTCACCTTCCCCTATTCCCTTGAGGGTGGACACTCATCACTTTGGTGCTCTCGCCTTTTCCTTTTGATGCTTGCAAACCACTCTCAGCTGCAGCACCAAGAAGTCACTGTACTAGCATGCGCTTGTGTCAAAACACATAGCTAGCAGATACTGCCAGAATGAAAGATAAATAAGCCAACAGCTGATTCAGTATTATTGCTGAATGCATGCCATCAAGCTGAATCAATTCTGTTTAAAGTAGACAAGATTGCAAGAGTTGTTTGAGGTAATTTATGGATTTGTGTATGAACTGGTGTGGTTCAAACCTCCTGGTCTAATATGCAGAGTATAAGCACTTTTACACTGACTTCTGCACTTTCAGACAATTCCAATGCAGTCCTCAGCTCAAAAATCACACCAAATGTGTTTTTAAGAGGTGTGTTTTGAGATGAAGTGCCTTTAAAATACATATTTACATTCTGTGTGGATCTCTTTTAAAAGGCTGTTGCTTCGTACAGAAATGGAATGGAACAGAGTGATGTGTGATTGCATGGCAATGCGAAATGGACGGATCCACTAATTCTTTGAAGACTCACAAGGGAGGCTTTCTGGAAGGGAAGTTCCAAGCATAACTGTGCCAAGGAAAGATCGTGGTTGTGCCCTTGCAGGAGTGTGGATGCACACAGACCTCTTGTGCTGCTGTGGGGTACCATGGGCCTGATCCTGTGCATGTGCGTTGGCCCACAGGACTGGACCATGGATAAGGGTTAGGGTTAGTCTTGTCCAGAGCGCCACTTCATTTGCTGCATGTTCGCATTACAACGGTCAACAGGCACTCCCGGGGCTGGTCCTAGGATTTTCGTAAGCCACACACCCTCAGTAGGGCTCTTCAATCAGAAAAAGGCTGCGTGTGCAAGCCCAGAACCTTTTCATGATGTTTCTTGGGCCTGCTCGAATGCTCCATGCAAAGCAACAACTGTGCTTTTGGGATGGTGTTGCCCATTGGAACAAACCAGAAATGGCGACTGGCTCCCAGTGACCCTGATACGTCATATTCTGTCCAAGAAAAGCCTGCAGAGACACAGTTCAAGGATCATCCTGACCATCACTGGAGGGATAGGATTGCTCCCCAGAGGTGAGCAGACACCAGACTTGCTGCTGATTTTATGCAGGAGCAGCAATCCTCTTCCGCCAGGGCCATTTCACCCCACAATGCATCCGATGGAATTGGATTAATCCTGTGAGAAATGAGCAGCACAGGCCTGAAGGAACATTTCTTCCTCCCTTGTCCCCTTAGATCCTCTTGTGAGTGCCCTTACTGAAGGAGGCAGTGAGAGAGAGGGCCTTAAAGAATGTCTAAGCAAAAGAGCACTATCCGGTGCCTACACTGTTACCTTTCCGCCACTAGGCTTTTCTGCCAGGCATCTGGAGAGTTTATGCCTTGATTTATGCATTCCTGTGCTATTTCCATTGTATGGTACTGTATTGTACTGTATCATCTTAAATATTTGTATTACATTTTAATCTTACATTTGCAATTCATGCAGAGAATTTTGGTTATTTGCTGGTTAAAAATAGGATCTGTGATTAGTAAAATAAGCCAGTTCAAGTAAGCAAGAAAGGAAAGAAATTTGAAAGAAGCACCAGACTTCTCTGCTACTGTCTCTGACAAAAGGAAAAGATGTCCCTACCGTCACTGGAGGTTATTGACTCCTATGTCATTGGGGTTCCTGATCCACTGCAACCTTTCTTTTGAGCTATCCATGGTATTCCATGGTACTCAACAAATTTTGGGGAAGGAATTCAGCCCCATGGATAGCTCTTAGAGTGGTCAGAAGCCAAAGCAAACAGCCCCATTGACCCAAAAGCCTGACTGAATCCCAACATACTCCTCAAAGTCCTCAGACACCCACTCCCTCCTTTCCTCTCTCCCATTTCATGTTCCTTTCTTTTGCTCTCTCCGCCCTCTCCCAGCCCCCTAATCCTATCACCGTGCTGAACAAATGCTTCTAAGAATATTCAGCACAACCACATTGCAGATTCTCTGCTTTACCACCCTCTGCACTGGGTAAACCCATCTGTATTTGTGGCAATCCGGCATGTTTTTGTGAAGATACCCTGGTGAAGTGACCAGATTGCTGCATCTTCAAAAACTGCATAGCACAAAACGCTGTTCTACTGGGATACAACAACCATTCCATTTGTTTTTGATTCACGCAGATTGTCACATATCTTAGCTGCAGCTCCCAAGAGATTTTCCTACTCTCTGGGGATTTCACTTCTCAGGTTTTGCCCAGGACATAAATGTGATCTCAATAAACCCTTTCTTCTATGCAGTTTGGCTTGCACTGAGAACTATTTCTCTGACTTTGATGTGTGAAGAAGTGAATGTTTACTTGTGTGTAAGATACAGGTCATTACATCTGACAAGATGCCTACAAAAATAGGACATTCCATTGATGAAGTTTGTCTCCAGACTAGAAAAAAAATAAAATGCACCTCCTCCTCCTCACAATATCACAGAGATGGTCTTCAGAAGATCTTGTCTGAACCTTCTAGATAAATAGAGCTAGTCCAAAATATCTCGAGATGATTTGATTTTTTTTTTTTTTGCTTTGTTTAGTTCTCAACCAATAGCTGGAAAACTTCAGACCTTTTCAGAGAGAAGATCCAGTGAAATATTCCCCCCTTCCAGCTTCACCATACAAATATGGAGAATACTGTAGAGAATGGGGAATGGTACCTGGAGGGGCCCAGGTAAAGCTAGGGAAGAATTCTGCCTGATACCTTGGCCAGAAGCTTCTGATCACTATGACCAGGACTGAGAGAGATGCACCAAAGGTCTGACTTGGAATTTGGCTGCTCCTAATTTCACGAATAACTGTTGTTCCAACCCTGATGGGGGAACTTGTTTGGACCAGCCTCCATAAGTACCATCTGCCCCATTGCAGCCTGCTCTTGCATATACATACTGCTTCCTCCGGCATTCGATGGCTCTGTCTATCCTGAACTCTGGTAAACTGATGAATCCCTCTGCTTTTTCATCCTGTGAAGAAAGAAAGAGGAGACATTGCTGACACAGGTGGAGAGGGGATCTTCTGCTTCCTTTTTTCATTGCAGGTACTAAGCTGTCAGCTCACTGAGCAAGCTGGAATTAATACCAGTTCCATTTGTAGAAGAGCTTTCAATAAGAAGGTGGCAAGTTTGAACCTATTTGGAACTAGGAGCTGCTCAAAAAGCTGCACTGTAGTTCCTTTTCATTTCTGTGGGAGGGGCAGGATTTCTGAAGGTGATGTTACAAGGCTAGTGAATTTGGCTAGTGCAGATCAGCAACTTTTGGTTCTTTTGCATGAGAATTCATCAAATTTCACAACGTATTTGGAGAGAAAGGGTGTGAAGTTAAACTTGAAAGTGGAAGAAGATGAAACAGATTCACCCAGTTCCTATCAGTTTCTGACCAGTCATCTATTTCCATATCTGCCCCAACCCTAAGATCATCTGCACAACCTATCTTCTGGTGGCCCTGCCAAATTAGGTGAGAATGGTGGCTACCCAGAAGAGGACCTCTTCAGTGGTGGAACCCCAGATGTGGAATGACCTCCTTGGAGAGGCTCACTGGGCACCTACATTATGATCTTTATAGCTTCAAGTGAAGGTCTGTTTATTGTTCCAGGGGTTTAGCCCTTTAGAGCACAATCTGTTGGAGGCTTATGAACATCCATTGGAAAGCCAAATGAGTGCTGGAGGCAATATTTGTGCATTTTAACTAGACAGCTATTTTTGGCTGTCTGGGTCACTTTGAAGAGAAGAAAGGAAGCTGGGATGTCATCAGGGCATCCTGATAGGCCCAGCCTCCTCCAGTACCTCCACTTCTCCACCCACTTAAGTCCCCTCCCAAGGTTAAGTTCCCAGCTCGAGAGAGGCGGCTGCAACTGTTCTTTCCACCCCAGCAGTGAGGAGGAGGGCCTGGGGACACAGAGATGGATGTAGATTATCGGGAGGGGAAAAGGCTTGAACTCCTTTCTGTAGCACCACTGCTGGAACAACATCCAGATTCCCTCACTCTCTCCCCTGTGTGTCGCAGAGAGTGGCATCCCTCGTGCGGGGGCATTTCTATGTGGAATGCAGAAGCGCTGGCTCCCCTCCTCAGACAGCCCTTCTGGTTTCTAGGCTAGGCACAGGGGATGGACTGCGCCTTTCGTCATTTCTTTGCCAGCCGGTTCACTCACCTGCATGGAATTCCTTTCCATCTGTAGTGGTTTCGGCTACTAGTTAACTAACAAGCTGACCTCTGGATCCTCAAATATCCTTTTTACCAAGAAGCATCATGACAATAGTCAAGGGTCCCCCCCCCCCCGCTTCTGTCTTCTTTCTAATTTTTGTGAGTACTCACATTCTGGTTAGTGTACCAATAGAGGGAAGAATCCTTCAGGACGAACCAGTATTTTTTCCACTTCTGGATGAAGTAGCCTTTGGCATCCTTTTTCTTCCATAACCAGCCTTCACAGTCTCCATGGCCCAAGTCTTTGCAGGAGATCCGGCGTCTGCTGCTGTTGTTTAATGACCCTCCTTGAAAGAAAACAGCAAGATGAGAAGGTCTGAACCTCGGAGGAAGGAAAGTTCAACATACTGTATATGGCTCCCTGTTCAGCCCTTCAAGGAAACCAATTTATTATTTCACATGGAGAGAGAAGTTAAGAAAAGTATAGCTTCTGGATTCCTGGCTAAGATGAGGTCAGAACGTAGGCTCTGCAAGCTCACATTCATGGTTGGTTCCAGAAGTTCCCTTTTGCTGACACAAGGAGTCTTAATCTGACAAGTGGCCTTGTCCTACAGGACCGAGGGAAACTTTGAATCCAAGCTTTGCTGAATGCCTTCATGACCCCAGGGCTCATAAAATCCCAATACATAAAATAAAAGTTGCCTGTTGGAGTACATCCCAAGAACAATGGCTTCAAATATCTCTACAATTAGTGAACTGTAGTTCTTGCCTACGCAGGGCTTCTATCTCACACTGGCTTGGTTTCTCGTCCACTATAAAAAGCCCCAGCCAAAAGCATAATTGGGGTTGCAAGAACATCTGAAAGACTTGGTCATTCTCTTGACTTTTGATTCTTGGTGCATCCCATAACATCAGATAATGGTATAGATTATTATGAATTTATCTCGCCTTATCTCTTTTTAAGGATGTGGAAATGACTAGGCAGTGTGCACTGCAAGTATTCCTATCAGAGGTTAAGGAGCATGTGAGCTTTGTAGGACGAACAGTAGAAACACTGCAACAGGAGGACTTTATCACCATCTTTTCAGAACAGTGAACTCAATAACCCTGAAATTTCATTCTCTCTTTAGCTCCTCCACCCCCACTTTTATCACCAGAAACAGAATTTCCCCTAATATTCATATCATTTTCCCTTAAAAGCCCAGGGCAAATTTAATTAAAACATTAGACTGTTCACTGTGAAAAATTGAGTTTACATTGTTATATTAATTATATTTGTCCTACATCTGTGAAGCAGAGTCAAGAGTTTAGATCACATTAAATCACTATTCTTTCTTCTGTGGAAACCCACAGCTAGGCTCCGAAAAGTTGATTCCTTTTGAAATGACATTCTGAATTCTAGCCAGTTTTAGAAGAGTTCCAGAAAATGCAAGTTGGAAAGAACGCTTTGGGTTTCTTGCCAGCAAAAAAGGACTGACTTCTCCTGTACAAAATCTGCCTGTTCACTAACATCATTATGGGAGGCTCTTTAGAGATTGACCAGGGTCCTTGGTCTATTGCAGCTTTTTCTGACTTTGTACCCCGCAGATGTCCGGGACTACAACTCCAGTGTTCCCAGCCAGCATTTCCAACGCTCATCATGTTGGCTGGGTTGATGCGCATTGTAGTTCAGCACAGGTGGAGTATTAGGTCTCAGCAGGCCAACCTACCGTGTTCCTAAGAAAACCCTTGAGGGGATTTCCCTGGGGTTTGGGAATGCTGGTGACACCCTGCTCTATCTCCCATTTCCATCAACGTTCAAGGAAGGTGTTCAGGCTCTGGATCAGCACCTGGCTTCAGTAATGGATAAGCTGAAGTTCCAGGTCAATAGAAAGGTGCGTTGGGGAACAGGGAGACAATGTCTCTCCCCATGACTTGGATGGGGCTGTATGTTTCCCAGGAGCCCGGCGGTTGGGGAGTACCCCCAGTGACCCCCTGACAAGCAGCCACAGCTTTTCCTCCTCTTTGCGGCAGCCAGAAGGTTGATAGGAAAACCTCTTCATGTGCCACGTGCAATGGATCGGGTTTTGCTTTCTTTGCTAACGCTGAGTGGCACTGAGCTAAGCCTATCAGAAGCTGACCTTGTGGGGACTGGGCACACGAAAGCAAAGAAGTTGTGGTCTTCACACCGCTCCCTGGTGTCCCCCTGAAGTTGGTGCCTGATTGGTTCAGCCTACTGCTATAAATCAAAGCCCTTTCATTTAAGCTGAAGAACCAAAGGGCCGTGGCCTCGACCAGCTGATGAGCAGAGTGCTTCCTCTTGCAAGAGAGTTGGCTAGAATTAGCAGTTGGCATCAGTACTAGCAGTACTCTGGGAGAGAGAAGGAGCAATCCTGCACATACGAGCGTTAATCCAACAGCGGGGAAATCTTCTCACCCCAAGCTCTAAGAAGTCTGAAATGTGCTGATCACAATTCTCAACGCTACCTGGACAATTAGGGCCAAATTGTGAAAGCGCCACAGGCCATTCTGCATGGTGAGATTTTCAGAACTCATTTGCTGCACGCTGCCTAGGTATACACATCCACTCAATGCTGCAGTTGCAGTTACGGCAAAGGTGGGCAACCTGCAGCAATCGGCCCAATTGCAAGCACTTCTGCAAGTCTGGACTCTAGCAAAAGCTCTGTCACTGCCCCAGCAGATCAACTGGTGGAGAAAGAGAAGGAACAGGGTCTTGGGAGGAGAGCAAAGAACCGGAGAGAATGAACCAGTGCTGTTGGTGAGAGCCAGTGTGGTGTAGTTTTCAAGAGTGCAGGGCTGGAACTCATTCAATCAGGGATTTAGTTCCTGCTCAGCCATGAGCTCACTGGGAGACTTTAGGCCAGTCACAGACCCTTTGCCCACCCTACCTGTCAGGCCTGTTGTTGTGAGGATGAGATTGAGAGGAGGAGGAGGAGGAGGAAAAGATTTAAGCTGCCTTGAGTTCCTTAGAATGAAGAAAGGCTGGGCATCAATATAATAAACAAATTAAAAAACGTGCTTATTTTTGCCTCGGGACTCAGCTCTGCCTACAGCTAGGATCCTACCCATGTCAGATCACTGTTCGAGGGAGATCACATTTGCAGAGGTTTGGGGGGCAAACACAACATTCTCCTAGTCACGCATAGTAGAGCAATATGTGATTGCTTTTCTCAACACTGATGCATGTATGCATGAGTGAATCAGGATTGGGAGCATGGTCCTTTGAGAAAGAAGGGTTTCCACCCATTTTGGTCCCAAAATTCTACGTACCCCCACAGTGGGGGAGTTAAAAAGGGATGACCCTGCAATCTGTAGAGGCTTCCCCTCCCATCACATGGGACATGTGGAGCTTCAGGATAAAAAGAGCAGGGGGGCTTAAGCCCACCTCTCCTGATGTTGAATCGGGCTAGGCATGCTTGGAAAACAATCATGCATAACTTCACCTGCGCGGGAATAAGAAAAGGATGTGTTTGTCCCCTAGAGATGACATTCCCACCAATCGCGGTCTTGATTTCTGAGTTTTGTAATACTTAGTAATCATGAACTTACCTTTGGGCCATTTTTTGCTTTTTACCCTCAGGGAAGCATAGTGAAAAGACTGAAGGTGATAGAAAGGAGACAAGACAGAAACACTCATCAGTTGTTAGGTAGCTTATGGGAAATTAAGCAAAACTGGAGGACAAAACCCAGGGCTGAACACCACTTGCATTGCTGCTTCTGATGCTGAGTACCCCACTCCCATTCTTAATACATTCATGCCGCCCAATGTTCTATGTAAGAACTAGGTGTCTTCTAACAGTGACAAGGATAAAGCCCGAAGGGCTGGAAGATGCTCGAAGGGTTTGGGGGGGGGGGTTTTTGTCAGGGCTCCACTTTCAAGGAACAACCAGGACATGTTGTGCTAGATGAGGCAGGAATCACATCAGGACCTTCGTTAGCACCCAAGAGTTGCAAGCCAACGTATCTGGAGAGCCACCAATTGGCAGACAAAATGGGCTAAGTCTCACGTAAGACAAATTCCTTTGCCCACATTCTTGCCAAATTTGGGTATTCGGTAGCATCCTTGCCTCTCAACGGGAAGGACCCACATAGCCATGGATAGTCAATGTCCCACCTTTCAATCCACCTAAGCCAGCGGCTATCAGCATATCCTGTGACACTGGAGACTTCGGAAGATGGTTTTGCCATCATCGAGAAGGACTTCTTTCTGTCTGCTCCGGTGCCACCACTGAACTGCTTCAGTAGGAAGAGAACAGGGCGATGGCAGCAAATCTCTCTGTCAGCCTAACTCCTCAACACCATGCATAATTTTATGAACCTGTAGTACATTCTCTTCCTACTTTTATCTCTTTTCTTACTAAGCAAAAAAGAGCCAGGCGCCATCCTTTCAGCATCTTTATTTGTTCTGCTGGCCTTATCTGGCTCAGAATAGAGCTGCCAAGATGTTAACGGGGACCGGCAGGTATTCACATATAACACTGGTCCTCTATCAGTTACACTGGCTGCCAATGGAAGTCTGGGCCCAATTTAAGGTGCTGGTGATGCCCTATAAAGCCCTACATGGCTTGGGTCCAGGGTACCTGAAGGAGCACCTTCTTCCCTATGTGCCCTCCTGCCCCTTGAGATCTGAGGCAGAGGTCCTGCTCTGGGAACCCTCCTTGAAGAAGATTAGGAAGGTGGCTACCCTGAGCAGGGCCTTCTCTCTGGTGGTGCCCTGACTGTGCAATATGCTCCCCAGAGAGGTTCACCTGGCACTGACGTTATATTCTTTTTGGCATCAGGTGAAAACCTTTTTATTTTCCTGCCATTTTAATGTTTAATTGATTTTAACTGGGGTTTCAGTATTTCAATTGTTGGATGCTGTGGTTTTTTGTTTTATTCTACTTATTCTATTGTAATCCATCCTGAGATGCTAGTGGCGGACAGGGAAGAAAATAAATAAATAAACAAACAAACAAATAAAAACCTATAAGAACCTTTCTGAGATGAGGCAACCATTATTGCATGGAGCATTTTGCATGTGTTGGTGTCAAGCCACATCACACAAACTCTACAGGGGAAGAAGCTTGCATGCCTGCTATAAAGCGAATCCTTGCTTCTCTTGTCCAAACTGAACCCAGTGCACAAGCAGTGACTCCTTCAGAAAAGTTTGCACCTCCAACAAAAAATGTCACATAGGTGCAGCCAAGATAAAAAGGTCTCCTTTATCTTTCAGCCAGAATACCTCCCATGCAATCCTCCCGATCCAGTCAAAATTCTAGGATGGCCAAGCCCCTGCCCCAAAATTTACAAGGGAAATTTGGACAAAACTGGAGCTATCAGAGGAAAGGAAGGGAAGGGAAGGACAAGGGTAAGGACAAGGGTAAGAACATTCACAGATTTACCACCAAAGAACTCTGGGCCATGAAATAGAAATGAAAATGATCCTATATGGATTCCCCTGGGAGTAAGACCCATTGAAAGCAATTCTATATATAGAATTGCACTCCATGAACCATTTTCACATTCACTTTATTACTTATTTTGAAGAGGAATGCCCTTTGCCCTTAGTTCTCCTTGGTCAGTGGTTGCATCTTAAATCAGGAGCAAGGCTTGTTTCCAGGGTACTGTGGTCTACTTAAAAATACCCCCCCTCCACCCCCAATTCCTTGCCAAAAGAAAGAAGAGTGCAGGCACTCTGTCATTTAAGGCAGTGGGAGCCTTCTGTTTGGGATTCTTTGGGATCAAGTAGCCAAGCAGAAAGCCAATAAATATCACTGCACACATGCGCTATTCCTTTATGCCAGAAGGAATCTTTCCTGACAGTCTAGCCTGAAATTAGGGATAAAAATAGCAGAAGGGCGGGCAGCTCAGCAGAGCAAGCTCTGTGTACACATCCATCAGAGCTACTGAGCTCACTCAAGTCCTGCCAAAAGATCAAGGAGCAAATTTCAACAAGATAGCACTATTAGCCTTAGACAATGAGCTGAGACACACGATCACTCTTTTGACAGAGGCTGTTTGCAGGCAAATCTGAATTATTCACTGGAAACCGTTCCCAGAACACATGGTGGGCTTTGTGGTTTGGATGTGGCACTCTTAATAGGTTTGCATTTGTTGGTTCTTTATAGTACATTGGCACTTGGTTTAGGAGGAGCAGAAAATACTCAGAACTAGGGATGTATGAAAAATCCATTTAGGGGATGGAAACTTGATGGATTTTTCCAGTTTGGCCAAAGTGGAGGATGAAATTGACAAGTTCTTTGACTGCTGGGATAAATGTAGCAGCGCATGGAGGCAATGGAGCTGACAAAGGTATTTACAAGAGGGCCATACGTCTCTGTGGGAATGTGCCGAAAGCAGATTTGCAATTGTGCACATTTATGTGAGATTGGGGGGGGGGGGAAATGCCCCATAGCACCATTTCTGCACATTTCAGATCCCTTCCTCAAACTGCACAAATTAGCATGGGTACAAATGGTGGAGCAGTCACCACCAAACAGGGCACCTTCTTCCAGAATTTGTCCCTTTTTGTTCTCAGAATGATTTGTCCACTATGTCCTCCCTGTTTGTTAGTATCGAGTCAAAGGTCCTCTTATTGCTTCCTCTGCTTTCTGTTGGAGGAAGTTATCAGCAACACATGTCAAGAAATCTCTTGGAGGGGATGTGTCTGGCAGAATCTGTCTCCCAACAGATCTTGGGACACATACTTCAATAAAATAAAAAGTGCGACTGCTCCCTTGTGGTGTAAAGGATTTATGCCCAAGCATGTATTAACTCCACAGGAAACAATGGGAGAAATTGCAGAAACTAGACAGCAGTACATCCCTTCCTCGTTCACTGCGAAAGACTCTGAAGATGGTGATCAAGAAAGTCAAAGAGATCAGAGAAAGCACAAGAGATTAGCATGCCTAAAAATAGGCATCAATCAGCCTCTTTCTTCTTGTTTTCCTCTTTGCGCACTGAGCAGCATATGCAATTGCGTTGTTCAAAACAAGATAATTGAGAAGGACTTTTGGGGGGGAGAGAGGGGGCAGGGAAAATCTAAGCAAGTTTATTGAGAAATGAGCAATCGGCTTAGCATTTAGCTTGAAGGGATGAAAGGCATGGAAAATTATCAAAAGTTCCACTCTACGCTATTCAGCAAAACAGCCACAAGCAAAACAAAGGGTCATAAACCCTTGCCAAAGGAGAGGCTGTAAACCTCGGCTTCTTTCCTTCACTCGTTCATTTAACAGGATCTCAAACAGCAGCAGCAGGTCTTGGATAGACCAAGATCTTAGAGGGCAGCTTGGAGCAAGATCTTAGAGGGCAGCTGATGGCACTGGAAGAGATGAGCAAATGAGACGAGCTCCGAATGAGACAGATTTGCACAAGCATAGAGAGTGCACACATTAGTGCTCCTACAGGAAGCAGGAAGGGGTTGTGGGCGAGTGTGTCTTGCTTACGCCTCCCTCCAAACCACACATGTTATATGTCATCCGTGCTCAGCATCCTCGGTACCGGATGCTGAGGCTGTGGCTTTCGTTCACACGGACTCACAAATGCCATGCGTGGCTGAATTGCCTGGGCAGCAGTGCCATTATCTCATTTCCCACATGATGAATCACATCAGAGGTTTAGGGCTGGGTGGATGATTGCACTACATATTTTGCTTGGCTTGGCTACTCTGCCGTCATTCAATGCCCTGGAATGTCCATTCTGTTCCCTGCTCTGAACTTTTTTTTTCAAGCTGCCTTGGCGGGGCTCCTCCTTCCTCAGCTGTAAATGGGTGCTTGGCTGCTGATGGATGCAAACTGTCACCCACGAATGACATCTGCTTAAGCCAGCCTCCTTGATGGGCAGATGACTGCCACGTCCCATTTGGGCCAACCTCCTGCTCAATGAGGGGCTCCAAGGTGAAGCACCCCAAACAGCTGTCCAGCTACATGTTGAAGGCCTCCAGGATGGGAGGGCCCATTATCACCCTCCACGTTTGGCCCATTGACCATATTACTCTAATGCAGTGGTTTTCAACAGCTGGCGTCCGTCTGCAGGAGATTTTCTGCCCGTCAGTGGAGCGGGGGCACATCTTGCTCACCACAGACTGGTGCGGGGACCTCGGTTTGCATCATGTTTGCAGGGGGTGTGTTGGTGTCTCTGGGGTGGGCAGGGAGGGGAATGATGGCGTGGTGGGAGTCAGCGGGGAGCCACGCTGCATCAATTTCGATATTTTGTTCTTTGATTGGCCTTTTATGTTGCTCGGTTTCTGGTAGTTTTGGACAATTTTCATTTTTTGGGATTGTGTTTGGAAACTAAGGCAAAGAATACTGCAATACGTGTATGGTGCTTTTTGTTTCTGCCTCAGTGGTCCCCGAGGTTGTTTCCTGTTTTTACCGGTCCCCAGCTGTGGAAAGGTTGAAAACCACTGCTATGATGGAATGGAGAGGCTAGATGTTCAGGGGGAGTCTAGCTTCCTGTTACTTCAGCTCATGATCCAGTGTCCTGCCATAATTGAGTAACAATCCTTAATTGAGTAACAATCCTTTCACTCTGCTATGTAGCAGCCTTTCAAGTAACTAAAGGATACCATCCCTTCCCCGCTCACTCTTCTCAAGCCTAAGCATAACCATTCCTTTCAGTCATGGAGCTTTGTTTCCAGGCCCTGATAGAAACAGAGAGAGACTCCGAAGGGGCCTCCTGGGCCCCCAGGCTCTAGCCAGCTCTGCTCACGACATGCCCACCACGTGCATGTCCTGCCTATCCTTGAACACCCGCACCGATGGGGCTTCAACCACCTCCCGTGAAGCCCGTTCCACACCCATTTCCCTGGGACTACAGTGCAAATGCAACTCCACTTCCATGCTGTGATAGCAGCAAATCTGCCATCTCCACATCTCCCGGTAATTAAGAAAATAAAAATAAAACCCTGATGCAGCAGACGGTGATGCGCTTCGCATTGTGTCTAGTTTGGCTGCACAGGCCACAAAGGGGAAGCAGAGGAAAGAGAGGCAGGAACGACGCACGGTCTTTGCCCGTCTGATCAGATAGGCATGCTTTTCATGTCTTGCAATGGCTGGCTGTGGCAGCAAGGCAAGATAGTAATTCATAAGAGGCTAACAGCACTGTGTTCTGATAAGGCGAAAAGAAAAATAAGCATTATTTTTCAATCCCTCCTTTCACAGGTGTCACAATTTCCTACAGTGCCCATATCAACCTGCACCATCAAAACACGGGAGGCACTGAGGGAACATTCCTGCTTCCTTTTTGCATTACTTAAAGCTGTATTCAAGCCCCCTGTGATAAGCCATTTAAGGACACTCGCTTTACTAGCGAGTGTATTGAGCACCTTCTCCTGCTCCTGTCACTTCTGCTCACACACAAAGCAAGTGCAGAAGGTGACATTTTTATTAGGTTTGGGTTCAACATACTTCCTTGCCTTCCAAATACTTCCATCCAGGTGCTTGCCCCTCCTGCCCCATGGAACAAGCCCCCCATTGCTGTGGGAATCTTTGTCCCCCTCTTTCCACTTTGCAGATGCATTGCAGTGTAAAATAAAGCTCTTTTTTAAAAAAAAGATAGTACTCTTTTGCCCTATGAGACATTTGCCTGCAGTTATTATTCGAGGAGCAGGCTGAGGACCCTTCCAGAGCAGCCTGGGAAGCAAGGGGTTAAAGCAGGGGTTCATCTGGGAGAAGCTGGATGAAGCAACAGGTGGCCAGGACCAGAACCCAACAGAGCCACATCCATCCCTTCCTGCTCTCTTTGCCGCTCCCCTTCCTCTTTCTTCACTTCTCTCTCCCGCCTTCTCTGGTTGGTTGCCGTGGAAGGGATATTTCACTCTTGCCAGGAATCTGAACATATCGTTTGCTGTGGAATTTAGTCAGTGCCTGCATGCCGTCCTAGGGATGCCGATTTAACACCTGGGTTAAAAAGAATTTCCTCCTCTCTGCTGCCCTGCAAGTGAATGATTGGTGAATTTGGAGCAGAAAGCGATTTATGGGCCTTTTGGTTCTTACCCAGTTCAAAAATTTCCCCGTGCTTTAAATGACTTGTTGGTCTGAGGAATAAGTTACAGTCTTTAAAATCTTCTTAACAAAGAGTACAATTCAGTCCTAAAATCTTCTGTTAGCCCTCCAGTAAACTTTTCAGTTAGTTGCATCCGACCGACAGTATTTAGGGAATTGGATCATTTGCAGAATAACCTGAGTTATCCTTTAAAAAAACAAACTCACTATCTCTGTCTGCAAGCTGGTTCCACCTGTATAAATGACAAATTTACTCTCAAATGCTACAGCTTACTCATTCTCTGTCAGAAGCCACATAAATCAAACTGTAAGACAATGAACGCCATCAGCAGCTGCTTTCCAAGTTTGTGCCTAGTTTGGAATTCTGAATGTCTACCTAATTGCCCACTTTGCTCTTCTCAGTTGCTTAGAATTCAGCTTGAAATGCAAGGTGGGGCTCTGAAAAGGCAAGACATGGCACCACCTCGGACTTGTGACTGTGAAAAACTACTGGATTAAAATACATAAATGGCTTGAGGAAATGCTACAAAAACCTTTAGCTTTTAAACATGAAGTTTTCCTATTAGGCATTATACTGGAAGATATTAACAAACAAGAAATGTATTTGACGTTACATGTAATTACTGCGGTGAGGATTGCATTTGCTCAACATTGGAAAAGTGAAGAATTACCCACCGACGAACTGATCCTAAGAAAGATTCTGGACTGTGCAGAAATGGATAGATTATCACTGAAGGAGAAAGAAGATACTGACTTCTATCAAACTTGGGAACTTTTTTATTATTGGCTGGAGAAACGGGACTTGGCTTAGATTTAAAGATGTCTTTAAGTTGTTATAAACGAATTTGATTATGACTATGGAATGTTAAAAAATATGTAGTAGGGGGCTGACCCGGTATGTCCAATGTATTTGATGATCGATGTTTTTAGTAGTAGTTTAAAAATCTTAATAAAAATCTTTAAAAAAAAAGAGGAAGAAATGGCACCACCAAGCCTTCTGTCCAGAGCACACGGCAGCTCAGCTCATGATTCTGCACGGGCTCCATGAAGAATCGCCTGCAGGGAGGGGACGTTCTTGGTGGGTGGGCAAGTGGCAGAATTGGCTGACAGCAAGTGGCAGAATGGCATATGACTTGCTTTCATTCTTCCCAATATGCCCATACAAGAAGCTTTGAAAAGCTAAGCTCATGCCCGGGGAAAATCCTCAGCATGATGGAGAAAGATCTGGCACAATGCCATCTAGGGATACAGCTCCGTGCCTGCTTTAGACAGAAAAGAATCCTCCAATTCCCTGCATTCTCCAGCTAGCTATGTTGCCCAGGGATGCATAGCTTTGCATCCTGAACAGCTATATTATTTGAAACAGGGCTATATTTGAATCTGCATCAGTCTCCACTGTCTTTTTCGCTCTTCACTTACTACGCTCAATCTTTCCCTCCTCCCTCTCTCCGCTCCCTCTCTCACACTGTTCAATCCACATTTTATAGCGCGTGTGTCTTTCTCGGTGTAGGTACTAGAGTAAAACTTGAGTGACTCCTGATTGTCTCAGGGCTGCACTAAGGCAAAGGGAAAGCTAAGGTTCGACACTGGAACTAAGTTAGTCAGCCCAACTTACTGGAAAGTAGCAGGTGAAGCAAATTCAATTTTTCCCCTGCAGTCATGAAGTGCTATGATTTAAGAGAGCTTAAGTGAAAATGTACACACTCCAACATTTTCTGTTTAAATCAGGGACAGCAGATCTTTTAAGATATAACAACTGCAGAAGCAGTGGCAAAGTGCAGAATGAAGGATCCAAAGAGGAGAAGTGTTTGTGCAGTGTGTCACAAGCGAAGCAACAGAGAAGGTCGTCTAGAGGGGGACCCTGTGAGACCGTGAAGTCCATGAGCTAAAAGGACCCAGCTGCACCACTGGCCTGGGGTGGCCATTTATGCAATGGAGATTAAAACTGGAGATAAAGGACATTGCCTATTTTTATAACAACTGTATATTTGACCTGGCTCGAAAACCTCTGGGAGTCTGCATTGCATCCGTGGGTGTGCCCAGAGCCACAACTGAATGGATGCAGAGACCATGTGTGCAGTTTACAAAGTGGGGTGAGGTGTACATGAAACTGTGCCGGGGTCTGCCAGGGACCCCCACCTCTCCTTTAGAGCAACAGTGCTGGGCATCGGAGACACAGTACACTGTTTCTCAAGCTCCTGCTCAGAAAGAAGTCAGCGTGTTCGTTCCTATGCATGTCAATTCAGAGGTGAGCTCCATTATGTCTGACAGTGCTTCTTCCCAGGTAAGCAAGCCAAGACCACACAAAAAGGCAGAACGCCGCATATGCCTCCTGATTCCACTTGTTGCCACAGTATGTGACTTTTTTTTTTAAAGAATGGCTATGTCAGTCACTCCTTATAAGAGAAAACTCCGGGGGAATGTACTCCCAAGATGGAATACAAAATGAGGCCAGTAAGAAACAAGAGGGAAGAGTCAGAATACATGGGAAACCCTGAAGCTTTCTGAAGCCTAAAGGTGTTTAAAGGGGAACTTGGGAAACTGAAGGGGATCATGGGAAGCTGCCTTATCCTGAGTCCATCTAGGCTGGTTTTGTTAATTGGTTACAGGCAGGAATTTCTGCGGTTCTGCCTAGAAATGCTGGGGCGTGACACTGGGACCCCTGCAGGTAAAACGTTGCCATTGCACTCCAGTTCTTCCTTAGAGTGAGCAACTCCCAGTACAGTCCACTAAAAGACAGCTTGTGCTCAGTAGCAATGGTAAGTGCCTGCTGGAAAAGAAAAGGCAAACGGGAGTAGGCATGAGTCAAATGCTCGGCCTGGAGGGAACGCCTGGTGGGAACCTGGAACAGGAAAATGCTTTTTTAGGGCTGCAAATTTGCACTGCAGCATTTTCTTGACCACTTCTTTGCTGCTGTAACAGCTAAAAGTGAACTTCCATGGTTAGGAGCTGCATATCTTTGATTCAAGACACTGGGGACAAACAGCAGGGAAACACCTCTACACCTTGCATTTCTGCATTCTCTGAAGCATCAGTTGCTGGAGACGGGGTGCTTCAGTGCACTAATCCAGGAAATGGTTTCTCATTTCTCAAGCAAAGGCACAACTTGAAGACCCATTATTTTGCAGCAACAAGCTGGGAAAACCTCTGTTATTCCAGCTCAGAAGAAGCAGTGGACTATCCAATATACCTATCAATATAGACAGACAATCCTTTCCACCCCCACTCCAGAAATAACAATAATTAGGATGCTAGAGTAGTTTATCAAGGATTTACCTTCCTCATGGATGTGACTCCTTGACGCTCAACGGCAGAACTCACATACCTGGAAAGAGATTGTGGAGGGGAGAAAAAGGAAAGAGTTCTTAAGTTCACACAAACACAGTCCGAAAGCAGTAGCTTCATTTGCATAGGTTTTAGTCTCTGCGGATTTTTCTGATGGCTCCATTGAAGCTTGACCACATGGTGTACGCACCTTCTGACACACAGACCTTGCCCGGAAAGGATGAACCAAGTAGTTCAGACCCCTCAGTGAGAACCACACAGACAGCCCTGCTAAAGTCTTCATGTCGTTGAAAACAAAGCGTGTCGTTTGAGTTTGTAAAGTATCTTTTTTTAAGCTATGGGAAAAACCCACCTCTCTTCAAAATGTAAGCTTACAAAACAAACACAAAAAACCCAGGGGGAAAATCAGTCTAGCAAAATGCAACTGGTGCCTAGGGAAGCATCTGGTTTGGCAATCCTCAAAGCTGATTAGCTGATCTCTGTTAATGCAACTGGAAGGGGTGGGGGTGGGGTTAGGGTTAGGGTTGGAGTAGTCTTCAGAATGATTGCAGGAGACACGGCACAGTTAGCACACAGAAAACTGTCTTATCCCGAGTCCATAAAGCCCTGCGCTTGTCCACTGTTGTTGGCAACACTCTCCAGGGGCTTGAGAGGCTTTCCCAGCTCCAGTGAGCATTCCAAGGACTGCACATCAGGCAAAGGTGTCCTAACACCGAGCTGGAACTGCAGTCCTTGATGTCTCCCGCCCTCCTTCACGGCACTGACTGCCCCGTGTTTTATTCCTCCTGAATTCCAGTCCCACTCACAGTTCAAAAATTAATGCCTGCCCAGGACCGTGATCGCCTCGTTGTGGATTTCCATTCATTTGCAACTCCCTGCGCTCCGCGTTGAATCACCCATGCACGAGTGTGCAATGAAAAATCTCAACAAAAACCCAACAAGTCATCAGGTGCAGACACATGTAGAATCACATGCATAAGATTCTCTTTTGTGCGCTCTTTTACTGATGTGCAACAGGCATTCTTGCAAAAAGAATCTTGATATGACCATACATCTTGCTATGCTCACCCTGTTTCTCCAACCACCAAGCTATTCCACCCACACCTGGTTTCCACCGGAAGGAACTTGCTGGTGGCTTGTAGGCATTTCGCAATATTATGAGTATATGGATTGAGCACAGATGAAGGCGGAGCTTCCGCCGGAGGTTTCCATCCTTTTTGGGCTGCTGGACGCAGGTGGAAGTTGGTTGATGCTCCCACAAAATGGCTACATGGGCCCTGCCTATCCCCAAACATCCATTTCCAAAGGCAAACTGGTGAGACTAAAAGGAAAGTAACAAGCCCACGAAACTGCTGCAAGTGTAAGGCCTACAAGCAGTCTGGGCTGCGGAATGCAGAGCTACTCTTCTGATTCAACAGTCTGCTCCTCCAATGCATGTTTCAGAGACAGCAAAATTGTGAGGCTAAGGGCAAAGGGGTTTGGCCAGAAAAATGAGCCGAAGGTGAGGTGAAGACTGACGGGCCCCCCATGCCATATCACATTCAATGCACAAAAAGTCCCCCCGTGGAAGAATGCAGACGGCTCAGAGAAGGCTCTTCCCCATCCTCTCCCACACGCCAGCAGGGTGAAGGTCTACCAGGATGATCAATAAGCGAGAACAGGGATGCAAGAATAGGTGACGGCAAAAAGAAAATAATTCTGGAGGGAGCTCTAGAGGGACCTTAGTGGGCGTGGAATGAGTTGGCTCAGGATAGCTGAGGGCACTCCAGATGTCTCAACTGCCTCCAGTGATCGCTCCAGGGTTTTGAAGGCCCCTTGGCAGGACACGTTCAACGGGCCGCCTCCCCCAGCGATTCTCCTCACCGCTGCCAGCAGCTGCTCCTGCCCCTCTTGCTCTTGCTCAGGGTTCAACCCTACCATTGCCTTGCTTGCTTGGAGACAGAGAGCCAGGATGAAGCCAGCCTCACCTCCACTGTTGCCTGTGCCATGGCGAGAGGCACGCCAGCCAGCGGGTCGCAATTCCGGGGGCTGTTGTCCCCTGCTGGCCCTTGGCAGGTTCCTATTATGCCTACCCTTGACTGCCCTTGACAGCAACATTGCAGGATGTCACACAGCCTGGAAGGTGTTTGGTCCCCAGATATTCCACCCAGGCAGCAGCAGCTTTTCTGAAGTGCAATTCAGAGCCAGGAAACAGCTGGCCCTTGACCCCCTGCTTTAAAGCAGATTCAAGGCCGCTGGTTCCGAGACGGCTCTCTCGCCTCTTCTGTGCTTTTGGCATTAGCGGCAGTCAGAGGCAATATCCCTCCCCGCCTCTGTTGCTCTGGCGTGTGCCGGTGTTCTTTCAGGGTCAGCGGCCTGATGCACTGGCAGAGGGTCCCAGCTGTGGCTGAGAAGCCACTTCTTCCTCCTTCCTGCTGCTTTTGCAGCGGAGGCTGCTGAGCAGAAATGTCAGTGACTCAGCCCCTCCCTGGCAGAGCAGAAAGGGCAGACATGGTTTGGTCGGGTTTTCTTCGAACAGCGCATGGTTTCTGATGCTGTGGGGCTCGAAACCTGGTGATGCCAGCATTCGCACGGCGGCTCGTTTTTTGATACTTGCTTTTCTTGCTGTGCCTCTAAAGCTGCAACACACGTTCTCACCTCAGTGGGTTGCTACTGAAAATGGCCTCCCTGTGCCAGGTCAAGCCCAGCCTGGGAATTTCCCAGCGGAGGCTGGGAAGGTCAACACGCTCTTGTCAGCTCTGTGGGCCTCCTTGCTTGCTAGGAAGGTGAAGCAAGCACCCCCGCGGTCAGGACTTGCAGATCAGAGTTGCACAACCCGGGGACAAAGCCGGCAGGCAACCCACAGAACTGATGGGGTCCTTTGTTTCACAGGCCAAGGGTTCCTCTGGACTGCAGGATGGAAAAACCCTGCGCTGATCAGCCACGTCTGAGACCCTCCTGCCAGACAGCTGTGCAAGCAAATCCAGCTGGGTCCTTTAATGATGGCCTGGAGTGACACGACACTGTAGGCACTCTGGTAGGAAGTAGCCCATCACAGACTGTGGCTTTGTTCTTGCCAGTGAGTAAGGCCAAAAAAACAGGGATGGGGCAATGATGCAGGAGAGGACACCCTGCCTGGAAGGAGGTCCCTCAGACTTGGAACTTGCCTCAGTCTGGATCTACCTCTTCCTCCTGCTGGGCCTTCAATTTTATCCCACCACAGAGAGACAACAGGCCGGGAAGACACGGGACCACAGCTGTCAGCCTCGTCTATGGCTTATTCTAATGGAGAGGTGTGATCTCTGTGGTTCCATCCTGACTAGATGGCACTGGGCTGAGCATTAACCTCCTAGCCCTTCCCACATGGTAAGGGATCCATCTGGAGGAGAAAACCACAGAAATGCAGGACAGCTTTCAATGCCGGGAGGGGCTGTCGAACGTCTTTCAGCCACAGGCCAAATTCCATTCCAGAGAAGCTCTGGAGGTCCATGTGTTCCAGTGATGGATGTGGCTGAAGGCAAAAGGGGCGCAGCAAAATATTCCAAGTGCCCGTATATCATAGCTTGAAGCACTTACTGCCGGCAACTGTGCCGTAGGCGAGGCATCCCTTTAGAATGAGAAAAAAACCACGCGAAAGCAGAGAAACCGCTCGGTGATCGCCCGTCGGGGGAAGAGGGAATGGCCAGGTGGGAAACTTGAGAGGGCTGCTTTGAGAATGTATTTGGCCTTTCCGAGTGAGGTTTGTGATTTTACAACCCTGATGTAGGATCAAATAACGGATGTTACAGATGAAAAATAACTCTTGGGAGACATTGGCAAGCTGTGTGTCAAGCTTGCAAGGCAAGCTTATGAAGAAATCCTAATAAATTTCTTATTGCTGTGTCCACAATGAACGGAAAATGCTTCTTGTTCATTTGAATGACCATCCAGTAACAATTCACCAAGTACACACAGGTCCTTAATATGCACGTATCAAGTGGGCAATAAGGACAAACATTTATGTAATTATGGTGCCGATATTTCTCCAGTTTGCACAGTGTTAATTAGGGTGAAAATGAAAGATTAAAAAAGAGTTGTTTCATTTAAACAACCCAGCAGGGTCCCCCAGACACATTCATAATCCATCACTGAGACTGTTTTTGTCTCCAAGCCTCTTCGAGAGGCTAATTTACATTTCCCATTAAATAAATAAAATGAGATGTAGAAAGTGAGGAACAAGGAAAGCAGATTCTGCTGGCACTGCCCAAGGGCAGACATTTCAATGGAGAAACTGGAGCTTCAAGGCAACATGGCAGCAGGGTGCATGGGAAGAACTCTGGGGAGTTGGACCAAATGCTTCTCCAGTCCAGCATTTTGTTTGCACAGGGGCCAAGCAGGCACTCAAAGAAGCCCAACAGCAGGACGCAAGTGCAACCCCACCCTGCTGCTTGTGTCCTCCAACCATCAGTGGGTAGAGTCTGCTCTGATCCTGGGATAAGACATAACCATCACGAATAGGAGTCATCAATGCTTTTATCTGCCAGACCAGCAGTTTCCGTTTTGTATATGTCCATTATGCATGGCCATTTTCACCTCCCATTTCTCCATGAATATCCAATGTGTTAAAAACATGCACCAATATTCATATTTACACAGAAGTTTTAACTTACTTTCCCACGAAAGGAACATTTCTAAACTTGCCTTTTCAAATGCATTGGAAATGACATGGAGAACAGGCTGTTCCACCAGCACCGCTACAAACCCTTTCTGTTCTCATTCATTTTTCCTTGTGAGTTGTTTTGGAAGGCCAGCTGTGTACAGGGCCTATCTGGTTGAATTAATTATACCTTAGTTGTTTCAGGAGCCTTTATGGCAGAGGGAAAAAATGGAAATGATTTCAAATAAAAGAAACAAGCTTGTATTTTTGAACCAGGAACCATAACACAAAATTGGGAGAAAGGAAAACAAAAAAAGCTTTGCGATAATTTGGTTCTGATCTGCACTTTACTGCAGCTGGCTGAAGTGAAAAGCCCTAGGCCACCCTTCCTGAACTTGGTACCCTCCAGATGTGCTGGGCTAAACTTGAGGAAGGTTGACCTATTCCTTTATTCCAGGGGAGAACTAGCGATGCAGTAGAAGAGATCAGTTCAGTTTGTCTGCTAACAAGAATTGACAGAGTTCTAATGATAAAATGTTGCCTGATAGACCATCCATCTGAGTCTACTTTGGGATTTTTCAACTTTTGACATTGAGTGTAAAAATGCTCCGAGTATTCAATACCGAATGCGTTTCTTTTAGTCTTAATGGACCTATGATTGACTGTACCACCTGTTTAAAAAAAAAATCTGCAAAATCTCTTTGAAGGGCTGGCAAAGAGTTGAAATGCATTGACCTCGTGTTGCATCGCATTGTAGCAATTTTGTAAAGACAAAATGTAGGCTGCAGGTGAGATCTCTTTAAAACGAGGTCCCTCCATTCTCATGGGAAGCAAAGATTAGGAAATACCAAACCTGTGCTTAATGTGGTTACTTTTTGCACACAGAAGCACCATAACACAATTAAGATTTTTCACTGCAAGAGGTAGAAAACTGGAATCCAGCACATAATACAAGTTTATATGGATTGATAAAATCCTCCTTCCCATTGTTACTCTTTACATGTAACAATGTAAGGACAGATTAAGGAAGTTAGGACAATGTAAGGAAGTTAGGACGGATGAACAGACAGTGACAACTAGGAAAAAAAATGCAGGCCAAGAGTTTCTGGGGGTCAGTAATGGACCCCTTGCTGGTCCACGGCCTTTGCAGGTGGCCAGCAATGCTGTTCTACACATTTCAAAATGCCCTCACTCTGCTGTGTTCGTAGAATCATAGAAGAGTAGAGTTGGAAGGGGCCATGAAGGCCATTGGGTCCAACCCCTGCTGTTGCAGGACACCACGTTACACCATCCCACTCAGAGGGCTGTCCAGTTTCTCTTTGAATGTCTCCCGTGTGGGAGAGCCACCACCTCTCTAGGAGGCTGGTTCCACTGTTGTATTGTTCACGTCAAGCACATCTTGAACTAAGAGCATAAATTATTTGCTAGAATTCCCTTGATCAAATTTCGGCTCAGACACATTCCCTTGGTTGATTTTAGTCATGTTACATTGTTCAGGCTACAGACTGCACCCCCTTCAGGAAAACGGGCACAATTTACAGAGTTGTCATGATGAGGATGAGGATGATGTGGTGGTGGTGGCGGTGATGATTTTCACACCTATACTGCCCAACGGCCAAAGCTTTCTGGGTGGTTTGCAGCAGTTCAACCTACAGTGGAATTGCTGAGATTCTAGATGCTCCGGTGTGCTGCCACGAGGCACTTTTCTGCTTGTGGGAAATGCCAGGATCGTGCGTTCCCAGACCTCCTTCCTGGATTCAACATGCATAAGCCAGCCAGACGGGACGTGGCCCTTCATGTCACTGCTGGAAGCAAGAATGAAGCCTCAGCCTCACTGGAGGGCAGTACCTTAGCTCAGCAGGGGATTCAGAGCAAGCTGTGCCTTCCACACAGATCTTCCCTCCAGCACCAGCTTCTGGAGGAAGCTGAATGGTCTTGTTGCCTGAGCCCAGTCAGAGCAGAGCATTGCAGGGGGCAAGTTTTTCTGGCAACAGGTACATGTAATATTCCTGAGGCTGATGAATAATCCATGGTAAAGGGTTGGGCATGATTGGAGCCTTTGGACCATGGGTTGTCTTTGAACCATGGGTTATTGTTGAAGGGTGTGTTATCATCTCATCTGAAGCCAGGGGAGAAAGCATGAAAGGAAACTGCTGAATGGGATCATCTGGAGTTTTGGAGGGTGTTGTCATGGGTAAGTCGATGACATGCAGTTTTGTTTCTCCTTTTCATCTTCCACAAGTCAGGCTAAACCAGTGCCCGATGGTGACAATGGAGTGGCTGAGTGGGGTTATGTTTTCTCAGCCCAGTCATTGCTGAATATTGTTTATTGCATAATCAAACATTTAGGGAGAAAATGGTCTCAAGTCAGATAAATTACTTGCATCATGTTTGTACAGGAATCAAGCTGGGACATGTTTCACTGGATAAAAATCGATGCAACAGGAACCTAACGTTGTTGCATTAGACCCATACTTAACTGCAAATGGATTTAATTGGATTGAGGGCTCCAAATTTCGAGTTGAATCCAAACTTAATGATGGAGTAGACCCATTGAAATCAATGTAACTTAAGTATGATGAGGTTTGGATCAAATCCTTTGAAAGCAGGAATTATTTGTTAAAAGAGGAATGGTACAACTTGAAGAGCAAATAAAAGCGCATTTGCTGAATCTTAACAGCCTAATTGCACTTTTCATCCCAATGTAAAGCTTCTGTAAAAAAAAAAAGTACAAGTCTACAATAATTTAAATCCTGCACTTGTTTCTTTCTCATCCAATAATCAGGTGACATGATTCAGGAGTATTTTCAACTCTGTTGATTATCTTCTACTGAAAATATATTTGGGACTATCTTGCAAATACAAAGTTTCTCAGGGTCTCAAAATGACAACTAAAATATTAAAGCTTGAATTCATACAAATGGCAGCAACTCTTTCTAAATATACTTCAAAAGAAAGAAGACAAAGATGTCGTTACCTTTCAGAGTCTCCAGTGACTGTATCTCCTGCTCTCTGCAGAAAAGAAGTGGTGGGAAAAGAAAGAAGTGAGGCTTAACAGTTAGGGTTTAAGTAGAAGAAAAAGAAAATGAAAGAGTTCCTTAACATGATCAAAGTTCCTTTATCTGCAGAATAGCCAGACCGCAAAAACAAAACAAATCAACAATCTACAGTTTTTACAGGAAGGAAGTTGAAAACTTGCACTCACTTTGAACAATGATTTTACAAGAGAAATGAAAAACAAAACACTGAATTGGCAATGTATAAAACAGAGATAAAGGTTATTATTTATTAGCTTTCTATTCTGCCCATTAGCTGGAATGGCTCTCTCATAAAGCTATTGTGTCCTTTTTTCCTTCTGTTTTAAAAACAAGTTTTCAAACCTTCTGAGATGGGCAATTGTATTTTAATTGTTAATTTAGCACAGAAAAACATCAATATAATAAACTGAAGGTCAAATGAGGAGAGTTCTGTCCATAAACTCCCCTACAGTTTTTAATACACCTGGAGTCCTGCACCTTTCTTTCTCTAAAACTGCATAGGACTGTACCCTTAACAGTTATGTGGTCAAATGTGGGTTTCTGTGGCTACGAATCCATGGGAAAAGAGGAAGGGATAATATTTTCATCAGGAAATTACACGGGGATGAGGAGGAGAGTTAGCTGTGGTTCTGATCTAAATCCAGTCATACACTTGTATCCTATGGCTGTCATTACATAGAAATAAATACAAAAGTCTAGTTTAGCTGGCTCTAAAACCAACTGTTGGCCTGTTTATGGTTGCCCATCTGTACCCTTGCATAGATATTGCCTGAGCTTATTTGATGTTACAGAATGTTCACAAGCACTCTAATCACAAAGGCTGATAGGCTGATAAACTGGATGGTTCAAAAACAGAGGTGCTAAATGGCTGGATGTACCTACCCAAGAACAGTAGTACTAGATGGTGGATGTTTGTATTCAAGAGCACAGCTATCCTATGGGGCTTGAATGTTATATAAGTGCAGAAGAATCCAGATGCACTGGCCTAGCCATTTTAGTGTGGTGGGAAGTAACACTAGGTGTGAAAGTATGTGGGTACCCACATGCAGATTTGTTTCAGAAACACACTTGGTTTCATACTCTGATCTCCTTTGGTGGATAGGTCAACGCAGCTCCCATGATATTCATGAGAAAGGCTAACTTAGGTGGGTTAAGCTCAGGCACAAGAGGTACATCCAGCAGAAGTGTCCTGGGAGGAAAGAATATGTCAGCTACTTTAGATGTCCATGAAGAATGCAAAGAAACAGGGGAACATTTTTTCCTTTTGCAAGTGAAACATGCAGGAAGATGGTGTCAGCTTGTGAAGCCAGTCAAACAGCTTGGAAGCTCAGATAGACGCACTCCAAAGTTGTCATTACATTTGTCTATTTGCAAACACTATTAAAAAGTGTGAACAATTTTAGAACTGCACTTTGGAACTTTGGCAAGTCAGTCGCTAGCAGTCACAACAGTGAGTGGTAAAGGACTTTGCCTCCCCCATGTGATATTTTTTAAAATCATAAGATTTGTGAATGTAAGAGCTGATGCAATCGATTAATTTTATTTAAAAGCGGCATATGGCTGCTAAGTACACTGAGCGACGCATTCAGCCCAGCCCTAGAAATGTTCATGCAAATTCCTATGGCTTTTTCTCTTCTGGGCAGATAATTTGAGGGATGGTTTTGGAAGACTTGTTAGAAGATCCTGAAGGCTTTGAGATATCTAGCTCAGGTGCTGCAGTGAAGGTAGGACAGAAGACAAGGGCAATTTTCATCTCCCCATTCTACTGCGACAAAATTCTCTATAGATAGGACTCAGCCTGTCTAAAAGCAGTGCACTGCCAGGGCCTCAGTTCATATTCCAGTCTCTCCTCTCCTCTCCTCTCCTCTCCTCTCCTCTCCTCTCCTCTCCACTCCTCTCCTCTCGTCTCGTCTCGTCTCCTCATCAAAACGTCTCCATTCTTCCAGAACGTAGAGTCTACCTCATGCTCGGGGCAGGTGGAACTCAGATTGTTGTTGCTTAAACCTATATTATTAGCTGCTTTGGGCTCATTCAGGAAAAGTATTGCACAAATGTTCTTAACAGAGGAATAAATAATGGATTCTAATAGGAAGCAGAACAGAATTTAATCAACTTTTCCCCAGATATTGTATATGCATTATTTTCGCTAATTTGTGCAATATATTATCTGGCAAATATGTTGGATGTGGGAGGTCCCTTGGCCTAAACTTGTACATACATCACCATTACATTTCTGCTTTAAAGTTTTATTTTATAGGATTTGTATGCTTGTTGGCAGTGAAGGCTACTGGAATGGTTCACATATGCATTCAAAAGAAATAAAAAGGATATTGAAAAACAGCAGAAATCTGAAAGCAAATGCTATTTTGGGCTGGATTAATAAAAGTATAACTTCCAAATCATGGGAAGTACTGGTTCCCCCCACCCCCATTGGGAACCCGTTTGGCCCAATCTGTATCAATCGACTAGGGAACCCTCAAGGGAAAAGTCCTTAGAGGTGGAATTTCAGTGGTCTCAGAAGGCTGACTTTCTGTTTTACCAAGGGGATAGAAAAATGGGAGGGATGGAGTGAAGCGTCCTCAGCCTCAGTACTCTAGACTGTGTTGTTGTGGAGGGGAGGGGAGGGGAGGGGAGGGCAAAGCACACACCACAGGCTATACAGAAAGGCAGCTTTTAATTCCCGGAAACCAGCAGAATTGTATTTGTTTGAGGCAGATATTGAGGTATTTTACCTCTTTGTAGAACATGTAAAAGTTAAAGAGGGTGGGGGGGGGGACACATCTGGTGGTAATTATCAGATTTAATTACCCTGCAATAGAAGCTGTGTGGTAGTGGCGATAAATATCAATTTGGCCTGATTGCTAATAGATTCCTTAACAAATCCTATGAAATGTGTATTAATGAACATTTGACACAGGAAACCCCACTTAGTTTGAGAGGGCTTCACCATGCAAGCGGGCTGAGCTGACTCCAAAGGAATTGCTTTTGCAACTGTCCTTCAGGGTCGCTGTGCCAGATCCTTAATTATAATATTTTTGACAATGCCTTCTCATATCACAATAATGGCCTGACGAAACACACTACTTCATGCATTCCAGCCATTAATTTGCTGTTCACAGGCTACATGGATTTGGAGACTTCTACAAGAGACATAGCACCTACTAAACATTTAGCAAGCTGAGGACAAAATGAAAATAGGAAACTGAATCTTGACTCCTATCCAAGGACGAGCAGATCTGTATGTTTCATTTTCTCCAGCTCTCAGCAGGATATAAATACAATGCATTAATAAATGAATAATACCAAAAGTAACTGATAAATTCTAGGAAGGCAGTTTCACTCTGGAGTCTCTCCTCCGTCAAAATGGCCACTTTCATGTCAGCAATGCATTCTGGGACACCCACATGTTCTCCCACTGGGTTCTGAACATTGCTGTCCTTGATGCCTTATCTCTGCTGCATGGCACGTGTAAAGCGATGCCGATGCGCTAACTGTGGGCACCCCTCCCTTCATCCATTCAGGAATGGCTTACATATTCTGGACAGACACTACAAGCCATCATGATCAAGAAAGGTGCTTGTCTGATCCCCAGGAAGCGCTGTGTCCGGATTTGTGGTACTCCATGCATTCGACTGGGGCATCACCCAGCATCATTAATCTTCCCCTTCCGCTGCTGTACCTTGGTGGGTTTGATAGATTTCTCCTGGGAGCTGTTCTGCTGTGGCTCTACCAGCCTCCATTTTTCTTAATTATTCTTCTTGTCATGTCTATAATACATTTCAGAGGATGGAAGCAAATGTCCGGTCTCCTCTCCAGAGCAAAATGTGCTTGGAATATGCTTCTCATCAGGACTGCGTTACTGGACAAGCTTTATGGTCCATGTCATTATCCAAGTTCATAATTCAGAAGAGTTCCCAAATCCAAGTCGGTTGCAGTTGATTTTTGGTAATTGACATGTGAATTAACACAGACCTCAGCAAGGTCACCAGCTTGTTTGAAAGTATCTCTCCCCTCTGTGCTCCTTCCAGAGGCTGTGTGACCAGAAAATTGGCTAGGGATCACAGGGCTAAGGCAACCTGGAGTACGCCTTTGATATAAATGCTTTTCTTTCCATTTACTTTTCAAAGCAAAGCAAAGCATTTACATGCAGCTTTGAATATTATTGTAGGATATTATGTAGAATATTATTCATTAGACTATAGTTACCAGGTTCTATCATGATGGGAAGTTGGTTAGTTGTCTCATCAGAACATAGAATAATTGAAATGGTTCCGCCAGGGTAAACTTTCTGCAACCCTGTGGAAATGTTGAAATGGCCACACTTGGACTCCGTGATCAGCGCTTATTAACCAGGTATCCACCTCAAAGGATGGGGCTAAAGCCTGACTCATCTGGAGAGCGACACATTGGGGCAGGCTGTTGAGGGATTCTTCACCCGAACAGATGTGCTGGAAAGGGGACGAAGCTCACTGCAGGGACAGATTTTACACATTCCTGCACATCCCCGAGAACTCAGTTTGGACGGAGGTCTGGAAGCTGTGTTGGAATCGCCTTTAAGGCGATGTGTGGTGATAGAAAAGCGTTTCCTGTATTGCTTCAGCTGTGATCTTTCTGGCCAATGCCACACACTGGACCCTGCACCCTGATTCCCCTCACGCCTGGTCTCTGCTCTTGTCCTCTTAAGGCAAAGTTAGCAGAGTTTGGAACATTGAGGGCACAATTGTAAGCTTGCTTACTTAAGAGTAAGTCTCACTGATCTACATAAGACCTTAATGCTAAGTAGATGCATGTAGGAGTGCGCGCTAGTGCTTCCAGGTCTGATGGCCCAGCTGAAACATTTCTTGATCACAATCCATTTAAGCCTGCAAAGTGAATCACAGCTTGCCAACTCTGAGGATGTTCTTCCTGCGAAAGATTGAGGCATGCGTGGGAACGACTGGCAAATGCCTGTCAGCACCATTGTTTAAAGCAAGA